TTCATAAGAATACTCCCCTAAGTTTTGTATTTTAGTTAGAAATGGCATATGTTATTTTCCTTCTTCCTATATCGCTGCACAAAAGAGAATTTGGTAAACACCTTACACAGATAGATAAAAATACATAATTGTTAATTTTAGAAGCAGAAATCACTGGAATTAACATGTCTGATTTCAACAAATCAGACTTAGGAAAATGGGGCTGACTTTTTTGTTATGTTTTGAGAAGGATGTTATCAAAAAAGATATAAAATTTACCTGTTCTTTTATCTCTTCTAACTCAAGAAAGACATTTTTCAGATCCAGTTTTCTTTACACCAGTTTTCTAGTGTAACCCTCCCCTGTTTTTTTTAATATGTTCATCATTCATTCCTTATCTGATGTAATCCAAAGTAAAGAAAAAATGTCTTTTTTTTAATCTTTGAGAAAGTTCAAAGATGTAGTGTCGTAAATATATTGTCTTACTATACTTTCAATAAGATTGAGATTTTTTTTCCTCCTCTTCTTAGTATATCCAGCAAAATATAAGGGCCGACTGTTCCAACATTGATAAAATCCTTGAACCTCCTGAAGGTCAGGATGAAGGTGTATGGAAGTATGAACATTTAAGGTAAAAAGTCTGATGCCCTCTAATCTAGTGTTCTTCTTTTATTGCTGAGGAAATAACTGTTTTCAAAAATTGTACTAGCATGTTTTAGATATGAAAACACAGCCATGAATTTCCATGGTACTTTGTTCTAATTGCAGCAGCTCCTTACCTCTGCTACCTCAGTGTAGCAAAGAAATCGCCAAGGACCATCTGGAGGGCTAGTCTAGGTAGCCTGTCCCTAAAGGTATTTTTCAGGCTTAGCGTAGGGTTATAGCCACTTAATTCATCCCTGCATTTCTGTTTTAATCCTTATTTTTCTGGCATTGATTTACTATTATTGGATCCTTATCTTTCTTATTATGAGCTTGTCTTTTAACATACTCTTGAAAGTGTATTTGATAAAGAATACTTCTGAATTGCTTCTCTTTAACGTCCTGAATTTGCATCCTGTTTTTCTTTCCTCTGTTCTAGAATAGTTGGTATAAACACTGTGACTCCTCAAAAGAAAACCAAGAATGTTTAGAAAATAGCAAAGGAAGGGCGTTTTAAGAACACCCTCTGCCCTTTTCACCCATTGAAAATCATCCTAGATTCATAGACTTTTCACCAAGTGTTTGTCACTTTTAGAAAATACATTCAGATTTTCCTTGGAGGGTGGACGAGGTGAGTTGTATAAGTTAAAGAATGCGCTTGCAGGTAAACTCTTATGAAAGTCAGAGGTATTTTCCTATTTACATTGCATTTTATGTTAGTACCACCTTGATTAAAGAACGTTATTTCTAGAAGCCAATCTTCTGATGATTTGATGGTGGGACTTTTGAGCCACTTTAGTTTATGTGGAGGAGATGTATTTTAAAAGGCCTGGATGACTGTAGGATTTTGTTTTTAAGAAATTTATTTTCTTGAAGTGAAATGCATTTATTTATTTATTTATTTATTTTTAGGCAATTCTGTCTTGAGCTTAATGGACTAGCTGTCAAGCTTCAGGTAATTCTTTTCTTGATATTTTTGTATTGGTATCAGAGAAGGAACTGTTTGTGTACTCTAAGATGGAATATCAGCTTGCCCATCTTTCTTGTTCTAAATTTATACTCACAGACTTAAGCAGTGGCTTCAGAAAAAAAAAAGACTTCTGGTAAATATTATTTTTATTGGGGAAGTGAGCAAGAAAATGATTGTTTTTGCTTTGGGATATTCTTTCTTAACTTTTTTTTTTTTTTTTTTAAACAGAGTGAATGTCATCCAGACACATGTACTCAGATGACGGCAACTGAACAATGGATTTTTCTTTGTGCAGCTCATAAAACTCCAAAAGAGGTATGGATGTATTTTGTAAAATGAACCTCCCGAGTGACAAGACTTGCTTTTCCAGCTTGTAATTTTATGGGACAACATTACAGAGTCAGCCAGCTGAGAGCCTGTGTGGATTAGGAATATTACTTCAGGATTTCTTGTGTTGCATTCTCTATTTGGTTTACAGAAGGGGGGGATGAGGTAGGAAAGAGCTGCTTTCTACAGCAGTATCAAGGAGATTTTGCACATTCCCCTTTTTCCTCCCAATTAGTATTGAGACAGTCTGAAACTTGACAGAGAAGGGGCTTGCCCGGAGGAAGCGCGTGCTGGGAGCAGGCTGTGTGCTTCGGTCTCCCGCCTCCATCCGCAGCACTAGGCGCGGGAGCCTCGCCCTGGACGTGACCGCCGTAGGGAAGCGAGTCCTAACAGGCAGTGGGCTCACAAAAATACTTTTCTCAAGCAGGTTATCAGCATGGCAATAGCAGTTTACCTGAGGGTGCAGTGACCTTATTTTTGCTCTGATCTCCTACTGGAACTGCTTGATACATCATTTTTCTTTCCTTCAGAAGGTCTTTCTTTGTTGTAGTTAAGTGATAGTGCGGTCTATCCTTGTATTTCACCTGCCAAAATAAGATATCAGTCCTTAAAGTTCTTTGTTCTGTAAACCTTTTCTTCAGGGTTTGCTAAAAGGCCTTCATTTAGACTTGGAGAACAGCTTCCTTCCCAAGCCCTGTTTTAACCTTCCTTCTCCCAAATATATTGACATACAATAGGTAGGATTTTATGTAGATATATTGGAATACTGAGGTTGCTCTTCATTCTAGGCAGTAGCTTTACATTTTAGAGCTATAAGTGAATAGATTGGCCACATTCTACCTGTGCATTGTTCCCCTTGAGAGAGAAGAGAAGGTAATACTGGTTATCTCTAAAGACATATCCTTAATCTGCTGTCTTCCATTTTGGTAGTGGCTATCGACTGATGGCCAGGTGGTGTATTATGCGACCTTGAGAGACTGCTACTGAAAATGTACAGCTGTTAAGTCTTCTTAAACTGTTGAATGACAAACCACACAGATATTCCAGCCCTCTCTGCCTGTCCTAGTTCACCTTCACTTTCTTTGATTTCAGAGCCAGAGGTTATACTAAGTTGTGTTAATGTTTTCATTTTCTTTGTCAAGGTAAAAACCACTGATGTATTTAGATGCAGGAATTTTGTAAGTAACTTTTCTTGATAGGATGTTCAAAGGCTCTAAAGGCTCAAAAGGCCTATCACAAAGGTTTAATAGGCTATAAAGGCAACACTCTGGCAGCTTACCTATGCAGAAAACAAATGAACTGTAACTTAATGATTGCCCTTTTTTCCCCCCAATATACCTACAATACAGTATTCTTAGTATGTGGCTTTACAATCACATTTCCATAGTGTTTTTTTTTTTTTTTTTTAAACAACTGACATGGCTTATAAATCAGACAAGAGGAATGGCTCACTTCTGGGGAAACAGATCTTCAGGGAAGCTATGTGAAATTTCTAGGAATAAAAATGGGTAGGGAAGTGTAAGGGATTCTTGTTGGCAGTCTCTGTGTATCAGGAAACATAATTCAGTGTTTTTCTTTAAACGAGGTATATGACAGTGTCATGCGTGTCCTTGTGTGTGTGTTCACCCTCTGTCTACTTTCATAGTGTCCTGCTATAGACTACACTAGACATACACTGGATGGAGCTGCATGTCTTCTGAACAGCAATAAATATTTCCCCAGCAGGTAAGAAATACTTCTCGGGAAGAGATACCAACTGGTGTCACATAAACACATACAAAATAGAGAAATTCATTAACACATTTTTCATAGAATCCTACTAAAAATACCACAAATCCTGCAGTGGGCATCACTGTGTTTTTTCTACATCTATTTTTAAGCCTAGGAAATATTGCCCCTGCCTGTTGAATTAGTTTGCTACTTACTAGAGCAGACAAGGGTGTGTTTTTTCAGATGGAAGCAGAGTTTTGTTTGTTTTGCTAATATCAGTGTTAGTAGGGGCTTTCCACTGACAGAGTGCCAGTCTAAATAATCAGAACACCTTCAGAAACATGCACTGACTCAAAGGACTTCACCATTACTCCACAAGAAGCCTCCAGAAGCCCGTGTTGAGTTTCCTGGGGTGCCAGAGGCAGAAGCCTGCATGCGAGTAGCCCACATGTCAGACCACGAAGATGAAGCTGGCAATGTCAGAATTGTGCTTTTCTGGGAACCTCTCTCCCTTTGTCCTTCAGTGCTGGAAACCAACTCTAGCCGCTGCTAGAGTAACTGATAATGTTTCTGAAGTTCAGACCAAGCCTCTCTGTACTCGGAATACAATTTTTAATATGCAGCAATTATTCTTGCAGCAGTGAGCTGTTGCAGTTAGCTGCAACACTGAAATCTAAATTTCAGGTGTAATTACATTGTATGCTTAATAACCAGAATTTAATTCTGTCAGTATGCACTTCAGTACAACTATATAACCGAATGTTTTGTAACCTTTCCTCTGACACTTTCAGGGTAAGCATAAAGGAATCCTCTGTAGCCAAACTAGGATCAGTGTGCCGAAGGATTTACAGAATATTTTCACATGCTTATTTTCATCATCGGCAGATATTTGATGAGTATGAAGTAAGTTTTCTTTTTATTTCTCATCTTAAAAGAAAATATGTAATGCATCTAATGTTATCAGAATATTTGCATCCAAATGAAGTATTGATCATAAATAGTTCTGTAAGAACTGAAATTCCACGTTGTAAATTGTTTTGGCCTTCAAATCTAAGATATTTTTATATATATCATTTATTTACTTTGTCCAGTTAATTATGTTGTTTTTTTTCCTGTTTGAATAAAAGGGCAGCATTAACAAGTTTTTACACAGGCAACTCTATTTGATCTTGTTCTAAAGATTGTTGGATGTATTTAGCAGTTGGTGCAGTTTGTACTGCAAATGTGTGTTTTCTGTTTGTATGCATGTTGCTCAACAGGATGTGTATGTATGTGTGTTTGCATATACAAGTGTATATATAAAAACATAACATTATAATTCTAAAACCACAAAATAACAGAGAAAGTAGTGACATTTTGTGCACCCCTAGTAGCTTCCAACTTATTTTGACTGAAGAATAGAAATTAATAGAAGTTGGAAGTAAAACAAAACTGCTTGGTAAATCCACCTCAAAGTGAACAGCTATGGAAGGAGTTTTGTTATAATTTACACTCTTCCTTAGGGTAGTGGATCAGGATAGCACTGATAGTTGAATATATTGTTGACTAAGTGCTGTTGAATTAACCTGTAATTTAAGCTTTATGCTTTAACTTCAGTAGGATTTTTTTTCTTGCTTACTGAAATAAATACAAGCAAACTCTAAAGGACTATATATAAAGTAACATGACTTTACTTTAGGATTGCTGCTTCTTTCTAAGACTTGCAAGTCTAACAAGGCAATTTACGTATAGGTAAATGAATAGTTTTGGGTTTTTTTTTTTTTATGTTCTCATTTTGAAATACACCTTCTCTGTATATCCCCCTTTCTCCCCTCCCCCCCCCCCTTTTTTTTTTTTTTTTTTTTTTTTTTAATCTCCAGAATGAAACCTTCTTGTGTCATCGATTCACAAAATTTGTGATGAAGTATAATTTGATGTCCAAGGATAACCTGATCGTACCAATTCTGGAAGAAGAAGTGCAAAATTCAGTGGTAGGGGAGAGTGAGGCATGATGGAAAGGGTGGCACAGAAGCCTCTGCTGACCACATCCAAACATTAATTATGTACTGTATATATCCTTTTACACACTTCAATCACGTATCCTCACAGCTTTGTGTAGTGTACTTTTTTTGTATGCTCTGTGCATTGCCTTTTAATATGGGAAATACTTTAAGTTATTCATGAGCTGTATATTCATCGATGTGGCACTCATGGTTTTTAAATAAAAGTAGTAGTATCTGTTTATAATGCCTGTTAATAAAAGAATTTACAGTTCTCTAAAATTGCTGCTAAACAATCATTGAATCACAGTCCTGAAGATGTGTCTGGGTGGGGAAAAAAGATTTAAGATTTCACAGCAAGCCACTTCCTAAATGCAGTAGCTGTATTAGCCTTAGTTCAGAGTTTATCACCATATATAATTCTGCAGGAAGCTCCTTGCAATGTAGCTTATTCTTAATTTAGGTTTTATTATTAAAAAAAAAAAAGTGCTTTTATTGTGAAGACTTACATTTGGATGTACGTATTCCTGCATATGTCTGTCTAAACACTAACAGGAACTAGAGTATTGGGAATACCAGAAGTGTAAGTTCACGATGCTATTGGACGTATATTACTGATATGTCTGACTTTCTTTCTGGACCTTTTTATAACAGTAGAGATTTGTGCACAGCAGAAAGGCAACAGCTTCTGTCCTGTTACGCAGAGTTCTGTTCTGTTGTCCACAATTTCTCTAAAGAGTAAGTGTGGCAGAAAAAGTCAATGGCTTATTCCTGTGCATATGTATGGCAATTGCTTACAGATTATACCTCAAATAAATATTCATATGACACTACATAACACCCTAGTGTAGTCTTTGCTTGTATTTCTAGCAAACACACTCCAACTACTTGAAATGAACATGAGTCATTGCAATAGTTAATCTTAACCTCGTCAGTTATCTTCCTTCCATCCATTCACCTGAATTAACTCTTCAAGATTAAAAAAAAAAAAAAAGGATTTGCACTTTTGTTCCCCTTGAAGTGTTTATTTTTGTTTGCAGATTTGCAATAACTGACACTTTCCATGACTGCTGCTTAATTATATTATGTCTAAAATGAAAAAATTAAATGGTTTAAAGATAAATATAGCAGCCATACTGCTAAGCGTACATGAATGCAGGGTCTAAAAGCACTAGCAGTGCTTTTACCTAAAATGAGCTGCTCTTAGCTGTTTCAAAGGTCACCTGGCTCTTTCTCAGAGGTTGCTGAGTGAGGTCCTCTTATTTGGTTAATTGACCAGTGAAGGGAGTTTCTGTGAACTACCCCTTGTCTCATGATTAACTAAAACAAAGTAGTCCACCTATTTTTAAGGAGTCTTTTTTTTCCTAGTATATTTAACATGCCTTAATTTTTTTAAGCAAATCAAACACACCTCAAGCAATTGTACCACTTGGATGTAAAGGGAATCTAAGCAATGAGAAACTAGAGAGACGAGGCTCACAACGCACTTAAACAGCTGTACTCTCCAGCACCTTTGTTTCATGTTTATCATATTCATTGTGAACAGGATAGTTGCATGAAGTGAAAGTAGCTTCAATTAGTGTTTATACACTGACTTACGATTTGCCCTGTATAGGCTAGGTGACTTTGATACATATTTTGAAGCTTGTATGGCAGGTAAGAGGATGGCATTTTTCGAGGCAGTGCAGTGTATTTAGTTCTCTTGCAGCGCCCTGTAGGGCCATCCACAGGCAAAAAGGCGTAAAGTGTTGCTAACTCCATTTACTCTTAAGAAACCAATGTGCTGCTCAGGACTGCATTAAAACATTAAACCTCTTCTCATGCTTTAAGAGTTTCACTTTAAACAAAACTCTGGAATTTTAACTCTGTTTTTCTTGTTCAGATTTGCACTGTAAAGTTTATTTGCAATACTGCTCATACTGAATATATATACAAGGCCTAAGTGCATCACTGCTTGTATTCTCCCTTGCTGTTTTTCACATGAGTACTGTGTACACACGTGTGAACAGTAGCACAAAACTCCAGTGAGCCCAAGCAAACCATTAATTGGTCTAGTAAATGTGTTAACATTAATTCACATAAAAGTGACACCATATTTGAATGATACTGTAAGAAAGAAAAAAATGCGGTTAAAATTAAACTGCTTCTTTACCTATACCAGTATATTTTGATAAGTGGTCCTCATTTTTCATCTCATCCAAGAATGTAGCAACTGAACGCTCCCCGCTCTGCTCTCCCGTCTCTGGGGTGAGGTGTGCAGCCTTTGTGTTTCCTCTTTCCAAAGTGAAGAAAGGTAGTGCTCATTAGCAACTTCGAGTTTGAAATCAGACCTCAAAGTTATACTTGACTTCGGCATTCAGAAAATGCTGGTTCTAGAATTTATAATCTAATGAGATCTAGAAAAGGAAAATCCAAATAAATACGCAAAGCACACACATGTATGCAAGGGCTTGCTGTAAGAAAAGGATATTTTTTTAAAACGACTTTCTCCTTAGCCATCACTGTTTTCCTGATGCTTGGCTTACTGTATCTTGCCAGTTAGCCACAATAATTTTGCTACTGCCCTTTTAAGATGTGAATTCACTCTCGGGTGTTGTCATAGCTTCTTCATCTGGTTAAGCAGAGGAGAACATGTCACCAGACCAGTTTCTCTGCACTTCCAAGTTATACTTATCTGTAGTTAAGGGTGTTCACTTATTCAGTTGATACCAATTGTCCACATTCTCTTTCAGGAAAACCTACATCCCAACTAACACTTTTGATCTGTAAATTAAGCCATAGGGAGTTGTAGAAACAGTGGCTTAAAGGTTATCAGCTTTTAGTAGATGGTTGTAAGTGTAATAAACTCTGCCCGGGGTGCCATGTGTCCATGCATATAATTCCTGTGCAGAATACACTAGTAGACATGAGCAAGCAACTCTCTGATTCCCTGCTTTTTGCAAGACTTGACTTCACTTTGATTTCTGAAAGAGAGCACTCTGCAGTAGGAAAATATTCTCTCTCAGCTATAAACTCACCATGGTTGTGTTCAAGCCAGCTAATGCAGCTTCAAGAAGTGGTGCTTACAGGAAATGCAACAAACAGAATAAATGTGCAGTCAGTTATATCAGCTTTTGCAGCCTCCAACAGGTTCCAATTCAGTGACTTACAGAGGGAATAAAATGGACTTTTTCACTTTTTAAATCCATGTGGTTTTATATACAGCGTCCGGTGGCAATGAGCTCTTCAGTCAACTAAACAGAGAAGCCTCTTTTGTTCTAAGCCTGCTACTCACCACTTTCACCATTCCCTTGAGTTCTTACATGAAAAAAGAAAGCTGAAGAGTTTATTCCTTTGCTACCTCTAATGCTTCTGTCAGACTGCTATTTTTTCCAGGTGGAAACACAGTATTTTATTTATTTTTCATGTAGAGCTTAAGTGTAGTGGCCCTGTGGGGTAAAAGACAATAGACAGCTAGGAAAACAAGTTGGATTAATGTTTTAACAGTGGGGGCAACTTCTTTATATACTGCCGGTAAGATAAATGGCATTAAAAAAGTGAGATATCCTTAACTATACAGGAATTACGGAACCTTATAGAAGATGCAATTTAGCATTTGTAGACTAAGATTGGAAAAAAATCATAGAAGTTTCATTTCAAAGCATTATGAGATTCAAGGGACAAGGACTAAAGTACAAGTAAACCTATGCATACTGAAACAGAATGTGATTTTAATTGAAATGAAAAAGGAAAGCCCGTCTTCCTAAAAATGGGGATATCCTCCATGGTACCTATGTACATTCATAGCATAGACCATTTCTAAATAGTTTGTTGTTGCAATATGCAGTATATTTTGCCAAGTATATGGCAAAAATGCCTCTTTGAAAGCATGTGGATACTACTTGACTTGATACTTCAGCATTCTTTCCAGCTGATATGATGTAAAAGAAATCTGTTAGAAGTTAAATTATTCTTGTTATGAAATACACGTGTTCTGGAAAGACTAACTGCGCTTGACTTAGAGCTTTGCATTATAACCTACTGCATTATAACCTTGTCTACAGTGTTCACTGTGTTAAGCAGGGATATTGCATCTTTTTGTAACAGCTCAGTAATATTTCTGATATGATTAAAAAAAAAAAAACCTCAGAATACTCAGGTTTTCTAATTTTTTTGATGGTTTGCCTTGCACGGAAAGTAAGACCCAATCCGTAAGTCCCTGCACACACACAAACACGCACAAAGTGTGACAATAGTTTTTTGATAACTTAGGGAAAATACTTTTGGAAGGGGAGCAACACATTCCAGTTTGCAGAGCAAGACCAGCTGTCCCCTCGGGTCACACATGCTAAAAGCAGTTGCTTTTCCGACAGACAGCCCTTGTCCCACTCGTTGTGCGCAGCCACGCCAGCGGCACGCGCCACCCGCAGCCCTGTGGCACCCGTGCGCCCTTGAAAGAGCCCCACGTGGAACTGTTTTGCCAGGCTGCCAGCTGCTTTCCTAAGAAAAAGGAAAAATGAACTGAAGTGGTATTATGGCGGTGCCTGACTTGCTTTGCTTATTGTAGCAGAGGTTACTTTTCTAAGTTACAATTCTCATTTTAATCACCTTGATCGTCTGCACACACATTTGTCTTCAGCTTCTTCTCTTATGACTTCCTTTTATTAAAACTTGAAAACTTGAAATTACATTAGTTAAAAGCAGCTTCTTACAGTCAGTACGTTACAGTACTTGGTGTGAAGACGCAGCTGATCTGAAAGGCGGAATTTCTTTCCCTCTTGTTCCTGTGTTTTCCCCCAGCTACCGTGGCAGATCAGCCCAGACAGAAACTCAGGTGCCCCAAGGTGGAATTTCGAGAGCAGCACAGAGCCGATTCCCGTTCCCGCTGCTCCGGGCAGAGCTGCGGCACCGTCACCCCCTGACATAAGGAGTTCCAGCACTGCCTCTGAACACTACTGCTAGAGTTTAACGCAGCTGCAAGCACTTCATCCAGTGTAATATACACTTAGCTAAGCAAGTTATTATATCTACATCAGAATATCGGTATATCATTTGCCTGCTTCTTCCCTATAGCTATCTTGTGCCCCTTGCTGTCGATACTTCTTTCCTAGTATCTCATACTGCTTTTTTTCATGGAATATAAGTTATCTTTCAGAGGGAGAGTGCTTCTTAATTTCCCCTCACTCACGAGTAAATGATGAATACATCATTGTACGAGCTTAAAGGCTGGAATAACTTTTGGCTTAGGTGTACAAGAAACATCCTGCATGGTGGAATTAAATTACAGGAGGATGCATCTGCCCACAACCTCCCAGAGGTTTCCTGTATGGACCACGTCAAAGCATAACTTAAATTATTGACTCTCTAGCACAAGGCTGACATTTCTTTTCCCCAGGCTTTTGAATTTAGACAAGGCAAGTACATTAAAGGTTATATTAAAATTTAAGGACAGCCAGCTAGTTCATTTCTATATTTTTCAGCAATATTTACAATACCCTTTAAAAAAATAATACCTCAAAATATGCGACATGCCCACTTCCACTCTCTCTTACAGAATACAATCTGTCACTGATTTGCAGCACTTGCTTCCCCGCTTGTCAAAAGCATCAACAAAGAAGGTAGGAGAGTGCCCAGCATGTAATTATTCTACTAAGAGACAGAAAACCATTATTTTGTAGTAGTATTATTACTACCATAGGATTAACACAACAAAGGACAAAAATGTAAAATGAGTCTGGGAAAAGTCATAGGATTACATCAATGCACTGAAGTAACGGGATAACTTCTTGTTTCTCTTCTCATCATTTGTGTGGATTATGTACAGGTCCAGCTGATGCAATTACTTACATGATCACATACATGTGACCTGAGTGACTCCATCTTCCTGGTCAAATTGTCCATCATCTATTTCCCTTAGGACTCCATCACTGCTACTGAATCCTGGAAAGCCTCCAAACTGGGAAGATTCCTCCTTGATCCAGCATTGTTTAGAAGGAGATAGGTGAAACTCATCAGGTGCTTGTCCCATTTCTACAGGGTGAGAAGTAGCTGTGTCTAATCCAACGCTTCTGCTAGAGATTTTGCCTTTTTCCTCCCTGATAACCTGCCTTAAGGATTTCTTCTGAAATAAAAGAGAATGTTAAACTGTTAGGTTGTTTGGAGAAAAAAGAAATAAAGCCCAAAGGTGAGTGGTCAGGTTACAGGCTCATGCATGGAACAGGGTGGGCCAGGAGGGGACTGGCCCAAGAGGACCCGTGTCTAGGCCAAGGCTCAAAAGAAAAAGCAAGCCGACAAGCCCAGCTCTGCCCCAGGCTTTGGCAGCTTCTGCCTCCGTCCTATACATTCCCAAGTTTTCTCCCAAGCTTTTCTGAAAACAGAGCAGAAACAATGGCCCTTTTGGTGAAAGGAAACGTATGGAAGGGAAGCTGTTACCGGAGACACTGGGACACTGCCTGAGGGGCAGCCCGGGCGGACGCCAAAGAGCAGGTAGGAAAGCTGGTCCAAAGGAGACAAACAGCAGACACCAGTACTGAGGAGACCTCTTTTCTCTATAAAGTCTGTATGTTTTAATAGGTATATTTGATATTTAATATATATTAGATAGTTAATATATATAATTTAATAATAAAGAATGCTTTCAGATTTTGATAGTTTATTTTATACCTGAAATCTAGCTGTTTTAGGCAAAGCTAGCAATGACAAGCTACACTAGTTTGGTATTACTAAGAAATCTATGAATTTAAATTTTAATAAAGGCATGTGCTCTTTGTGAATTCAGAGATTAATTTTGTTTTGCTTAAAAAATCAGGGAAGTAAAAAAAGGAAAATTTAGGGAAAAAGTGACATAATTGGAAAAACAGAAGGAAAATGTTACTCTGTAAACATTTGAGCTCCAGCCTGATAAAATGACCTCAGTGCACTAAGATTTCCTGCTAGAGAAGAAAAACGTTTAGTGGTACTTGAATAGACACATTTAGATACTAAGTCCGTTCACATTTTAAACACAGTAATTCTGATGCAAGCAGCTATAAATCAGCTCTCTTTTTAATAGACTTTCAGTACAGTAATGCTTAAGGCAAGGATTTTCCAGTAAAACAAAGCAAACGAATGACTGCAAAACACATATAAGTTTATGTTTCTGTAACTCAGAGAATGTAAATGTCATTCATGTGTTGATCACACCTCAAGATCAGCTAAAAGAATTGAAACAGCAGAATGTTTCCTATTTCTAACTTAAAAGAACCGCTCAAAGATTTATCAGTTCCTCAGGCTGATGTTTTTTACAAAATTGTGGTTTGTACAGCAACTTTTCTGGGCAGAGTCCTGTCCTAACCTGCAGGTTGCAGGTAGCTACAATTATTATTCATTCAACTTCCAGATTATAATATTACCAGTGCAGCTTTAGCTTTTATTCTAGCACAAAGATGAAAACCGACTTTTTGGAGGTTGAAATAAAGTGTTTTCTTTCTCATGTGGAACAGATGCAGGGTTTTCATCAACACATTCAAGGCTTTACTGAAGACTTCCAAAGAAATTCTTACAGCATAGCCAATCAATCACATCCACTGAAGAACTAGTCACTTCTTAGAACAACATACTTTAATCAACAGCTTTTATTATGCTTGTGCTTTCGTTCTCAAGTAAGTATCACTTAAAGCTGTGTAGCTGAGAAAAAAAAAGTTAAAACTGTCAAGAAACCCTGAGTTCAGCTGCAAAACCCTCTGCGAAGTTGACTTGATTTCCCCACATGAAACTGCCTTTTTTTTCATTAATGTTGAGACTTGTTTTGTATCTGTGCATTACCCCTAGGTGCTGCGCTGACTTTCCCATAGTGATACCACTGCCACCTTACTCACCTCTGGTGTCTGGACTGCTGAATGCCACATGACAGGTCTCTGAAGGAAAACAACTTGCTTTGTGGCCAGATTGCCTTCACTGCAATTCAAAGAACATTTTTGAGTATCTTAAAGGCAGTAACATTCACTGCAATGTGTTTGCACCTGTACAGTCAGCTGTAAATTGTGTGTATGTGAGGGGGAGGCAGGAGGGAGCTGGCCACAGCTGCTTCCACCCATTTGAAGTGACAGAAAAAAAACCCAAAGCGACACAACCAAACGTCAGGCTCCAGCTTGTGCAAAGTCCAGTGGAACAGAGAAAGGACACGACGGTGAGCAGACAAGAAGGAACGATTTTCCAAGGCTCACCTTATTAAAATGCAGCACATGACAAAATAACTGTGAGCCTGATTCACAAAGCACTGAATGTCAGTGGGATTTCCGCTGAATTTAAATTAGGAAAAGGCTTGGAATGAGCCACTCCAAGGCTTCCCTCCGGCTCCCACACTCCATCTTTGCCTCCTGAGTCAGGGCGTTTTGAAAACTCAGATTTAGTTGTTTGTGATGATAAACTAATAATCACAAAGCCAGTACTTTTGCACTGTATCTGTTTGCTTTCCAGTGCTCGTAGGCAATGTCTGCCCATTTTCTGTGGCACTACAGTAATTTGCAAGGGGAAATAAAGGTCACTGCAAAACAAGGATGCTGAAGCAGTTTCCCTGTCTCTTCCAAGGCACTTGATCCAGGAAAAATTGAAACTTGGAAAGAATTCTAACTTTAGATCAAAATCAGGTCTTAAACTCTAGAGGCTTATGCTGTCTCCATGTTAATAATGTGACACACTAAACTACCAAATAATTTCCTAAAGTGACAGTTTTCTGCTGCCAAGTTTAACTCCTAAAAATCCCAGTCAATGTTATCCTAGCTACTTGCCTTCTGAGCTTAGCATAATCCTTGTCAAACACGTCTGTGCAATAAACTCCTGCCTTGAAAATATTCACCCAGTAAGTCAGAGCGGTGTATAAGGCATGAGACTCCTTAGGTCATTTACTATATTTTCAAAATAATGGTGGCTCACTCTTGCACTCTTACTTGGCCTCAAATGCTTTTAAAATAGATTCTTTAATGACTGTTGGCAAAATTTAAGTACCAATATATGCACAGCAATTTTTGCATATTTTTCAGTGCTCTGTTTTCTTGTACCCTTGAAAAAATACAGTCACTGACAGAAGAAGATAAGGAAGTTAAGAGAAGGGAACTTAAGTCCATTTTAAAATGCACTGACTGAAAAAACAAAGAACCACAAATGCTTATTTTCAAACAAGATTGCACAAAAACAAAGCAAAACAAAACAACAAAACTCTGCATGTCTGAAGAGTGTGATATCTACTGTGGCTCTACTTGTAAATGTGAAGATAGCATTTTGTAAGGAAGTGTTCCTGTATCCAACGGGATGGAGGCCGTGGGGCAGGAGTCAAGGCTAGAACAGGCGCAGAGGCTCCTGTCTGTGCCTGAGAGAAGGCACCGTTCTGCAGCACTCCGCTGCCACGGGACATGCCATGCAACAAGGCATTTTATTTTGCGGAGAAGAACAGCTGTATAAAAGAGGAAAAACTTGAAACAGAAACAGCAAAATTTCACCGGGACAGGGTTTAGATCATAGCTTGTTTCAAATCCTAATGATGGTAAAATGAAGAAAAAAAGAAGAGGGAAAAAGAAAAAAAGCATGCTGAATGCATGACAATTCTGTCACACTCCAGAACCCCTTAGCTATTCCAGGTCATATGATGGTTTAAATAAATGCAATGACACCTGAGAATCATGTTTTTTGTCTGTAGACAAGCAATGAGCACAAAGGCTAAGAAGAGATCCTAGGAGATCTCAGACTAGGGATAGTTTTTCAAAAAAATAAGAGAAAAGACAGAAAAAAGGGGGGAAAATATAAAGGAAAATAACAACAGCGAGCAAGCTGTCCTACTAGCATTTCTCTGCTTCTGAAATAGAATTGTCATTATGTATACTGAACTCATCATTTTTAAAACAAATACAAAAAAAGGTGATTTGTCAGAACTGTGCCTTACTGACAGAAGAAAAGGGTCATCGGCAGTGGTTTTGCTAGTGTGTTCTATCGCATGGTGTCTCTGAAGCCCGTTAATATTCAGCCTGGGTTTGAGGGTCACAGTGCAAAGTCTGGGAAGGAACAGCTGTTAGGCAGCATAAAATGCCCTCTTTTATTCCGACATTGAACTTGCATTCTTAGCATCATCTACCACCACAGTAATAGTATCTTTCATATCAGACACACAGTAACCACCCAAGAATTTCTCCTCTTCCTTAAATACCAACATCAATGTCTAAAAATAGTACTTTCCAACCACCACTCAGTCTGCCAGTACAAAAGCCTGTTCTTCCCAGTCTTCTCTGAGACTTCTTCATCTTTCTCAGTCCTCCCTTGCTCATGGGCATTCTTCAAGATATTTGATGAGATGTGTGTGTTAGCTATCCTACAGACACGCACACGACAGGGGATTTACAATACTCCTTCTAAGGGTGCCTCACAAACCATTCTAAGACAACAGCTCTTAGACATTACACACAAACGCCCACCCAACCAGCTAGCTCAGAAAACGCACACATCATGCTCATCTGAACTATGCCAGCATTGTTGCAAAACAAATCCTGCTTTAGATCTGGCCGGGATTTGGCCCCTTCACACGACCAGGGCCGGTGACAGGTTGCTTGCTTCGTGTTTGATTCAGGAAGGAACAGCGATTAACACCGAGTACAACTTAAGGCCGTGTCTTGGGCCTTCTCAGTGGCAAGTCACCATGCCAAAGCTAATTCTCCTAGACAGAGATATTTATTGGAAGAAATGAATTAAAGGATAACTACTTTGTTTCATGTTGTAAAAATTGTTTTGTGTTCAGAATTTCTTACATTTCAGATCAAAACATACAGAGACCCTTTGAACAGTAAAACATGCAACATGCTTTACCACAGTTTCTACTGGCTTTGATTTTTGACCAAATGGTTAAAACCAAATATAACACCTCCCCCACCCCACCTCAGCAAAGACAGTATCAGCCTCCCAAATCTACTTTCCGACCAGAAATACTCCTTTCTCACATGGATGAATTGATTGCATTAGGTCAGCCCACTTGAACGAAATTCCATTTTCCTGGAGCAGTTCTCTTGGAGCCTTCCATTCACATCTTTTTTATGCTATCTTGACTTAATACAGTGAGGTCTGGATCCAAAGACTACTCCAAAGTCACTCAGAGTCTTATTCTTTGTCTTTAATGAGCCTTAAGACATGCCTCAGTGCACTTGTTTGCTTTTAAACCTTGGCAATCTTAATCTGATGAGAGCAGAATTTAAAAACCTGTGTAAATGTAACCCAGTGATTCATCTGTGCTTTCTTAGACTGGTCTCATAAAGAGCACAGTACTTTCTTGTTGTTCTTTTCAGTAAAGAAAGGGAAAGTTTGAAACATTACATGGGACTTAGGCCTGTTAAAATTAGCTCCTCCTGTATACATGAATCTCCCACAGACATCTAAAGAAGTATCACAATGAACTGAAATCCCTGAGTTTGCTACTATATTTAAGATGAAACATGATGTCTGCATTAAAGAGGAGGAGAAACAGCTCAGCAACTTGCTGGATTAGCACATTCTCCTCCCTCATTTGCAGTAAGGAGGGCATGACTGTCTTGTGACAGCATTGCTTCTTCTCACATAGTCTACAACAGCCATTCACCAAGGTCCTACTTTATGTGAAGTATTTCAACACTTACTTGAAACATATGAGTAATCCCATTGCTGGCCCTTACTGGGGACTATGACAAAAACTTTCCTAAACAAAATAATTATCAATTTTGGATATAAACAATGTATTTTAAATGCAGGGTTATTAGTCTAGTTTGAAACTCACTGAAGTCAATTGTCCTAAACCAATCTGTTAAGAAAAACTCCAGCATAATGCTACTTATGTCTCAGATTTTATACGCAATTAACACTGATAACATTTTTCCTTCTACGTTTCAATCCAAAAAAAAAAAAAAAGGCACTTGGTAAATTTTTTGAGATGTGCAACTTAGGGTATATACCAAAATGTGTATGCTGCTGTTTGGGTACCTGTCATGTCGTACGATAGGTGTAGGCAGGACACAGGTCAGAAGCCATCCAAACTCAGCCAGCGTGTGCAATAATGGTCCATAATCTGTTTTAATTTCACATCCCTACATTAATAATCATAAAAAGTAGTAAAGACACTCTGCAGGTTTTTTTTTACGTTTCTGCACATAACAAATTACAAGCACTCTTATTATTTCTTATTTACAAATGACAGCTCTTTGAAATTATGTCCCACTGCGTTGTATGGTAAAAAGAGAGCCCCTATTTCAAATCGTTTACAATTTGTGGAACTCAAGACAATAGAAGATTCAGAAAATAGATAGAATACATTAATTTAGATATGAGCTTTGATTTAGCAAGACTTTCAGAGCGTACATCTCGCTTGATTTGGTCATGTTGCTGAATTAACTCCTAAAACAAAGCTCTTTCAATTTAACTGCAGAACAGATTTCTTGATTAAACTTTTTTTTAACTTCACAACTGGATAACAAAGATATACTATTGACTGAACTCTTAAATCTTTCTTTTCTTAATTAATGCAAAAACCAAAAATGACTAAGTATATGTATATATATACATATCTAAAGACAGATTATTTTGGAATCCTTAGAACCCAAAATGCCAGAGCAGATTAAAAAAAATCTGAAAAAGTCAATGCATAGAAAGTTCAGTTCTTCGTGATCTGTTTTTTTCACACAACTTAAAATTTTCCCAAAGGTGGATATTATCACATATATGCACATAACTTCAGACAGAACCAGTCCTTATCAGCAATGGGCTCAAAGGAAAATATTTTTAAAGACTGTACATTTTTAGTCAAATTTAGGTCTGTGCTTTAGTAAAGTAACTCCACTGAGCTCAGTGGAACTTATCTTTTTATGCTAAAACTTATGCTAATTTTTGTGCAGTTTTTATTCATGACGTAAAGCCTTTATATACTCTAACAACAATTAATTGCATTATTCGCTCATTCATACCAATAATCTTGTGATATTAAAATATTAAAGAACATTAAAATAACTTTATATGATGGTACTAGATAGTACAATGTAACCTAAATAGAATAAAAACTGTTCTGCATTAAAATGAAAATTTTACTATGAATACACCTGAAAACTATATGTAACTTATTCACTATTAATTTCTACTCGCTTGACTTCCAGTTGTTGCTATTTTCTTCCTCCTTTTATTTAAAAGCACCTCAGCACTAGTTTAGCTCATCCAGGTGGCTTCAGGAAACCCTCCTACGTGTTTACTGCCGCTCATACAAATATTCTAACAACAACAACAACCAGATCAGAAGAAGGAAACCAACTGCACTGCTAAACAGTGGGCACTGTACCTCAATGACTGTCCACTGTTCAACAACGATCGCGTCATTGCCTTTCCTGTTAGAGCCTGGAACTCCAGACCCTTCTTCTTCATAGACGAATAATCCTTCTAAAGACCTGGGCAAGTGGTCCCCTGTGAAAAGAAGGGTGAATGTACGCTGAAATAGAAAGTTTCATGTTTTAGGATTTACGCATAAGCTAATACTTTCTCACTAAAAAGGCCTCTAAACTAAAATAAGCTGAGATACCAGTTATCAAATTGCTCAAATTCACAGCGTTTTTATTTCTGCATCTTCATAAATACGTAAGGTCAGTTTACTAGTCAAAATCTTTTTTTTTTTTTTCCCTAAAGGAGTTGCGCTTTGAACCCAATAGGGATTTCCTTTTTCCAAAGGCATTAGCCACTTCCATGCTGGAGTCTGAATTCGGGTGTCCTATATTCAACACAGCCCCTGCAGCACACGAAAGCGCTTTACGGTCCCAAGCCCTGAGGTAAATGTGTCTTTTGGTGTGGTGGGAGGGAGCCGCAAGACAAATGAAGCACAAACTGCAAAGTCTAACTGCAGTTACTTAAATAAACACATAAATGAGCACAGGAAGAGCCTGAAGCAGAAGTAACTGCAGGAAGATTCCTGATGGGAAGGAAGTTTCCAAGCACACCTCCCTGACTTACTTCTTGTGAAAGTCTGCCCATATCCAGCTGGCCCAAACTAAAGCTGTGCATCACATGCTGCTTCATTTGCTGGCTTGGCACCTCCTAAGAACCATGTGGAAGCCTTTTGTGCAGTTGTACCTCAATAGTGACTATCTTAAAAACTAAAAAGAAAAGAATAAACTAAATTTAAACAGAAAAACTGAGTAGTCCTCAGAAAATCAGATTCAGATCTTCTCTTATATGCCACAAATGTAAAGAGAAGACCGTTTTTGTTACAGTCTCAGGTATAGGGGTCAATGTTAAAAAACAACGAGAAATGGCAAGTGAGCAAATGAAAGCTTGGCAGCACCCTCTGGCATGGTGATCAAACAGGAAACGACCAGAAAGGCTTGGAAGTTCCCTAAATAAACCAGGAATTCCATTTTTTTCAACGCCTGTTTGGTAATATGAAATATTGAGCATCTATATCCACCATTTTCTTCCATTCGTTTTTTTTTTACTGTAATACACAAGGTGAATTTATGTACATTGATATGATTATTTAAATACTTAAAAGTGTACTTGCCTGTTCTGCATATTTATAGAGATATTCAGCATGGTATTTAATTTTTAGAATACACACAAATATAAACTGATTGTGGCCTATAAGCATACTTAGTGTTAACAAATTAATGGACTTGAACTTCCCTTTGCAGGCAGACACTTAAAATGGGAAGTCAAGCTATAAAAGGTTAGACTATTTATTTTCTATCATTCAGATGTGGTTGAATAACTCGGGGCATCTCCACTCAGTAGCATTTTAAGAAGAAATGTTTGTTCATAAAGTGCATCATGTCCAGATCACCTGTCATGAAAGCGTTACTGCAGCTACATGCGATACTAACTTTGTCACCTGCCCATTCTGGTGAGGACACTGGTTTTCCCTTGTTAGTATTAATCCTCCACCCAAGACAATTGTGTTGCATTTCTATTGCTGCTTGACCAGAATTAATTATCTTTATTCATATTTGAGCAATAGTTAAAATTTGCTGCTTTCACTAAAATATGTAGAAGAATTGCTGCTTTAGACCACATGAAAAAGAAAACAAACAGAAGCGTGGTGATACACATGCACAAGAAGTATGGTTATGGCAAAGAATGCAAATCTTGAAACACTTTTTCTCCACCAAAAACATTTTCAGGTGTCCCTCTGTTGGATGGAACATTTTAGCTGGTTGTAAAACTCTTCCACATTCATCTCATGAACAAATATTTTAGCCTATGGGGAACTCAGCAGCTCTGAGGCCACAGACACTTGATCAGCTGCAGAATTCCTTTCACACACAGGGTTGTGCCTTCAAATATATCTCTATTCCATGTCAGCAATGTTACACCCACAACTCTGAAATACGTTCCTGATGAGTAGGGCTGAACCAGAAGCACCAACTGCTGGGAGAAGGCAGCACAAAATCCCCAATAAATCACACCCTGGGTATTAAAGATGGGAGAGCTCTTCATACAGCAAAAAGCAGCCAGCTCCAGGGAATTGCAAGATTGCAGAACTGGTGCTGGACAACAGCTGCAGAGATTACTTTCAACAGCTGCTGCGGACACTCCGCAGTGCATTTTAAGGTATCTCCAGAGAGTTGTTTGCTGGCTCTAAAAAAAAAAGCTGTGTTGAAAATTAAATGCCTGATTTCCCACCTCTCCTCTCTCAAAGGACTCTGGCTGCAATAGGAAGGAATTAAAATTTCTGAGTGAACATGAAAGCCAATACAAACAGTGCCATTAGACCATTTACAGGCACAAAATATGCGCTTTCAGAGGAATCAGCCAGCAAATTCAATCTGATGGAAATATATTGAAATTGCTGCAGTTCGACCATAGATTCTGATAATTACTAAACTATGTTGCCACAGGGTGACAGAAATGAAGTGATTATCAGTATTTTTAAGGTTGGTTTTATAACTTTCTTTTATATATATATTTCAAACATTTTTTCTCTATTTTGAACCCTCATTTAGCCAAGTCTTGCAGAGAGAATGCAGAATACAAATCATTACTTTAAATCAGAATAGGGAAGAAAAGCATAAAGATAACACTATAAAAAGAAGGAAAAGAGCCTTCACAATTTTCCAGCTAAAGTACTGCTCTTAAAACTCTAGTATCTTTTTTCTTTTTTTTTCAGTCAAAAAGCCAGATTCCTCCTTCAAGCAAATGCATCTACTGAAGGAGTCTGTCATGAAGGGATGAGGACCACAAGGGGAGCTAACACTGCAGAGCATCAGAAGAGCCTTTGCTTTTCTCATGATCATAAACTGCAAGGCAGTTATGCCAAGCAACTAAATACATCTTATCACTGAATATAAAAATATGCAAAAAACAAACATGAGCATTTCTAGCTTCACTACATAATTCATGTACACATCAAGACCACCAGCACGGAAGGTTTATTGCATTATAATGTTACACTGCTCTTCTGCATTTGAGAAATCCCAAATTTAATAAAAAGCAGTAGAAATTTAAATTAGTCAAAGCTATAGCTGTCCAGAAAACACTGTATTTCCTTATCAGGTATCTGATTTTACATGTTTGCAATGACTACCTGAGCCTGCTTACATTTTGCTCTTCGACCTACAAGCAAAACGTAACTTTTGCAAAATAAGGAGATCTATAGCAGTTAAGTAAAAACCTCAAGATATTCAGCAATAATACTTACCTTTCGAAGTTTCCCAGTGCACAAAAGAATCAATTAAGGACAATCCTTGTTTATAATAAAATGTGGTTAGTTCCAGCCAGTCTGCCTCCAGGGTACTGACAACAGACCCCTTTCGTGTCACTTTCATAGACAAAATGCCCTCATGGTATGTCCAGCAGGTAGAATCATCATCGAAAACATTGAAGACTGTATATAGCTTATCTAAGATGAAAAAAAGAAAGAAAATGCTCAAGAAAATGGATGTTCCAGAGACAGTGATCAAAAACACATGTATTTTGTCTTGTTATTTTTCTCTGCTTCAAGTTGGTACCCTAAATAGCAGTTCTAAAAATTGTTTCCTAATAAAGAGTTACTGTTAATTTGAGTTCCTAACCTGCTCAAGAAGCAGAGAGAGGGGAATGCTCGGGAATGTAAGAAAAATCTGTAAGAACATACTGCTGTAGGGTTGCATTAGACCTTTAGGAAGGTGAGGTTTATGTGCTGAAAGTAGAGCAGATGCAAGAGAAAACTCAGGGAAAATCAACTTCATTTCTGTTGCTCACGGAACTTCTGACTACCAATATACTTAACTAACTGAGGATGAAAGACAATTTTCTAAATTTTAAACATTAGGAGTTTTGTGTAGAGCAGTAATTTGTACCTGCAATGAGGCATCTTACATGTTGAACTCCAGCAGTAAGGAATGCCTTCCTATCTTCATGCAGGTTTACTGGGTCCCCTCCACAGGCTGTTATATTGGCATTTATCAGAAAACTGCCTCCTCTACCTGTATTTTTTAATGTATAACTAAATAATTAAATCTCACGCGTTACCACCCCCAAAATCTGGTACTCAGGCACCCCATTTTCTTAGTTTCTGAGCACAGACTGAGGCAGACCGATGTGGCAATACATACCCACATGCATGTAACACTATTCTTTTAAAATTTACATCAGCGTTTTTTAAAATGATGGTCACATCAACCATCTACAAAGCAAAGAGGGTAAATTTTGAGAAATCTGTTAAACTCCAGCCACGTAACTGAGCACATAAGCAGGAGCAGAGGAGACAGGCATGCTCCTGCCAAAGCTTCCTGACGTCTCTGGCGTGTGGAAAGGCGCTGGGTGATGATCCACCCGCTCACACCAACAGGCCTGAGCAACGCTCTGCCCAGAACGGGCTCCCCCCTGCTGTACCTAACAGCCCCACGGCTTCAAGCTGTAAGGAAAGAGTTAAGCTGCAGCAGACCCTGCTATAAAGGCTCAGCATGTTGTAGGAAAACTGCTTTAATTCAAGTGTTAGAAAGAAAAGGGACATTGATTATCTCAGTGCTTAACTCTTAACAGGAAAGTGAAAAGGGTGCTTTTGAGTGGCATTAAAACCCATTTGACACAAGAAGACCACAGAGGAAATTTAAGATTTAAATAAAATAATCCAAAGGTTTGTTCTCTTTCCCAGAAAAGGGCTAATCTTCAAGAGGAAAACTGTAGCTAACATGAGAATAAAATCCTTCTACAGACCAGAGAGTGTGTTTCAGTCAATGCCAACGAGGAGATCAAGGTAAAGCCTAGTCCTTCTCCGAATCTTTCCCTCTACTTACCTGGGAGCATCATGCTGCCTTGATTTCAACAAGGTGCTCTTCTGCGTTAGCTCTCATGCATTAGATTACTTAAAACAACTATACATCTTTTTTTCCCTAGCAAAAGAGAAGTCTCAGTGCTTCAGTGTCAGAAGATGTTGCAGGCATCATTTTGCCCAGACTAAACTATATAATTACACAGTCTTCTACAGCTAGGTTTCCTACTAGCTTTTTTTTTTTTTCTCCATCTTAAACAACTTTTTAGTGCTTTATATCCTCTAGTGCAAATAGTCTGTGCAAAAACTGAAATATTTTTATGTGTTACCACAGTGCAGATATACATAGTGCAGAGTGTAAATATTTCTTCTGGCTCCTTGTTGGAAGTATTTTTTTTTTTGAAATAAGTATGCATTTAAGAAAGCGGCATCTTCCAAAGCCAGTATTTGATAAAATATACTTTTCTATTATTTTTACCAACACCTTTTTTTAAACAACAACAAAAAGATAACTCAATGAAATATCTTATATCTGCAATAAATAAATAGCATTTACTACCGTCTCCTTTTCGTGGTTTAAAAGGGCTGCCTTCTTTTCCAAACTGGACATCTGCATCCTGTGAAAATCCACTTTCTGCTTGCATTTCCTCTTCTATCCCACTTTCAAATGACTGACCACTCAGTGTCCCCTCATTCCAGTTTTTATAGTTTTCATCAGAATTTTTTCTTCTATGTTCCCTGTTTCTTCTGCCCAGCGTCGATTCCAGCTCTGCATTTCCATCCGTGTTTGTTCCATTACAAGCTTTAGGTTGAGGAAAATGTTGCGTTATAAATCCCACAAACTTCTTTCCTTTTTTACCAGCTTCATTAACCTGCGTTTACAACAGAAAGTCAACTGAAGGGACATTTTAAGACAGTGGATAACTTTTTTTTCAAACATTTATACTTATGTATTGTTTAATTAAATTGCAGACTTTCAAGGAAATACAAAGGACGTGATATTTTGTGCTATAGCAAGGTATTTTGTAGGCTGTCTATGTGGGCCAACAGAAGCCTTCTAGAGTGCCTGCACTTTGCAAAGGTGGCAAGTACTAACTTAAGTGCATACAAAATTCTGAATTCAGAACAAAACCCAAGTATTTCACTTGCCAAAGATAAGTAATATAGTGATGCAGTGAATAGAATTGTTGCTCTAAACCTATGTGACACTAATTGTACTAAAACTACTAATCACCAATACTACAGGAATAGTTGTTGTTTGTCCTGTGTTAAGATTTATCATCTCCTGGTTCCCTTTTGGGCTACCCAGCTTCACTATTACATGGTACTGCCATGCTTTTTTAGTACCATGGGAGTTGGAAGTGCTATAATTTATCACCATTGCCTATGAATAGGAATGTTTTTGCAATTGGCCAAAATTCAGCCACCACTGTGATTGCACAGAGCAGCTGGGGTTTTTGTTGTTGTTGTGGTTTTTCCTAAGGCAACCAAAAGAATTCTAATCATGACAAGCAACATGTGGAAAAAGAGGCAATATGACAATTTACTTTTCCCCAAGCATCACAGAGTCTTGCAGGTTCAGGAAGTCTTTCCTAAATAAGTGAGTTTATGCTGGATTACTGCTTCAGTCTTCTTAAAACATTGGAAACATTTTAAACTTAAATTATTTTCATGCAGTTCTTACATTCCAGATTTCCTCAGAAAACTGAATCACTGCTAATTTCAATCACATTTTGCCTTTCAATGTTTGTGTGGTCCCGCTATATAGACAACCTGGCAATACACATCTGCTATAAATGTGTATTAGAGTCCAATTTTATATTTGAAACACCTGAAACAAAGTAATTTCAAAACAAAGCATGTAAAAATTATAAGCATCTCTTTGATAATTTCAAAGATCATTAAATATTTCCAATGTACTTTTTCCTCAACTTCTTTCTTTAGCAAGTAATGTAAAAGACATCACTAACTCTTGTAATAACAATAATTTCCTGTTTCGGCAAGTCTTCAGCTGTACAGAGGAAGTGAAACACAAAAAGAACCAGAACTGCAGCTTGCATTGTAGGGCAAGGTTAGTTTTCCTTAACTATACAATATTTGCAAAAGTGTGAGGTTTTACACAATTACTGTGCATTTTGCATTTTTGTTAAAATTTAAAGAATGAAAAAATACACTTTACTAGAAATTATGATTACGTTACTTAACACAGAACAACACAAACTTCCAAAATTTTAAAATATTAATTCCAGAAAAAGAGCTATTGTGCAAGGGTTTTTTTTTTAGGATTGACGCAAAGTGTAGCCCCGATTCTACTTCCAGTAGCATAAATGGCCAACCCCTCCCCAGACTTTACAGAACTCAGGACTAAGTCCTAAACTAGAAAAAGTAGGTAAGGAAGAAAACTAGCTCTTTTTACATCAACAAAAAGCAAGTTCCATTTATATCAGAAATAAAAATCCTGCGAGAAGTCCGGAAAAAATTAAGAAAAGGAAACTCTGGAGTACCTTTTCCAACAGCTCCTTCACTGCCTCATTTGTGAGCGGTTCGGGCGCGAGGGGACATTCCTCAATGAGCAGCCGGGGGTGCCTTTGTCCTCTGGGTGCTGCCTGCTTCGGGCTAGGACACAGGAAGAAAGCGGCTTTGTCAGCCTCGCCGCTGGCTCGGGCACGCGCGGCCATGTGCACTTCCCCTCCTTCCTTTTGGAACCAACGTTATGAATGGGATCTGGCAATGCTTTTTCATACTTCTGCTTAAAACCCCGTGAACGTTTTTCGGGTGTTTTGTCTTGTTTCTCACACAAACTAGCGGTATTGTGTGTTACTGCGTTGGGGTACCAGCAGAAATGTTTAACAAATTGCCCTTGCAGGGTGCTCATGGCTGCTCTCTGGAAAATGAACTTAATTCAAAAACAAGCAAAATACATCAACTTTGTTAAAAAAAAAAAACAAAAAACTCCCGCTTTTACAGCAAACAAATCCCCTCAAATCTCCCCCTAATAATGGAAAAAAAAAAAGAAAAATAAAAAATAGGAAAAAATACTAAAGGAAGAAACGGTGCTTTCACAAGTGTTTACATCCTACTTTTTAGTTCTGAAATTTGAGCAGAGTCCCAGGGAGTTCATGAAATAACAGCGTAGGCAAATTTTAGCAATACACTGCAATAGCAATGGCTTTTAATGAAGTAGTGTTTCAATCACTCATAGGTTTCAGAATCCCAAATGCTTTAACTCCCAAGGTAACGGTCGAGAATATTATGAATCTTTTTGTCTAAAACCAGCAGTATTGTTACCTGGGCCACAACGTTTGGTGAACAGCTACAACAGATGGTATTTTCTTCAGTGTCTTTTTCCACATAAGCTTTTGCCTTAGAACGAACCATGAATGAAAGATGGGATAGGTTATTTTCCAAATAGCAGCTGGAGGACTCTGAGGTATGTTTGCCTACAGGAAAAACAGCACAGATGCACATGGCACCTGCCCAGGAAACGGGGAGCTTGTACCCAGTAGTTCCATTTGGAGGCTGCCTTGTTCTTGTCCCTCTCCTAATCAAGGGTGTAAGGATTCAAACCACAAGTTTCTTTTCTTACTTACGGGCATGAAGGTTCAGACCACAACTTCAAAACGATAACACTGCTCTGGGAATCAGCTGAGCTCTGGAAACTGTGTGTAGCCATGTTGGCTCAAGAGCTTCGGCGGTAGGAAGCAATATTCTGCCTTACTCCTTTGAGCATTTGTCCACATGGACAACCTTCACCTGGCTTGCAGATTGTTATGGAAGTTGTATGAGCCCTCATTAACAAAGGACCTCAACTGTCACGAGCAATGCTTGTTTAAGCAAGGCATCTGACCCAGAAAGTCCCAAGTGAACCATGTTTTACAGAAGGATTGAGAGCTACCCAGCGCACTGTTGGGTTCATGTCCTTCCAGCCCTCCAAAAGAAGCTGAGACCCTTTGCATATTGCACTGGGCCTGAGGAAAGAAGAGGAAGCACCAGAGATCTGAATAGAGTTAATAGTACCTACTCTCCTCATCCCGAGTTTCCCTCAGTGACAGAAATAAATTGTTATATACCTATTTCCCACAAAATCACAGAGTATTTGTTTCTTGATAAGAACAAAGAATAAACTTCATCTTGGCCTGACAGTACTCTTTAGGCCAAAGAATAAACTTCATCTTGGCCTGACCTTTAGGTGATTTTCAGGGAGAAAAACCTAATAGCAAACTCTTGTAGAAAAAGCTAAAGGCAAACATTTCAAAAATGAAGAACAAAAGAATAGAGGTGAGGGAATTAAAAGAAGCTTATTACTCTCTTTTTTTTTTCTTTTTCCTCAGGCATAAGATGCCTTACTATAAAAGTTATTAAAAATAAAAAGACACATTTGTTTTCCCACAAACATGTTTTAAAATCCTATTGCAAGTACGAGGACTGACTTTTGATTCGTTTGGACGCTTACTAAGACAAAGTAAGTGTTACCCTATAAAATGGTCAGGGTTAATAAAATAATGCTCTACCAACTTGCTCACCAGTCTAGACAAGGCACAGTTATTTGACTGATGTTTGAGGTGCTTATTTCAAGTGAATATTATTATGCATGTGAGCAACACTCACACAGTCAGTAATGAACTAATGCACGGTATATGATTTCTCTGTTACCTTAATTTTAATCGCGAAAGTACCACTCGATACATATGACTTGCAGGGAAATGCCTTCTGCGTCCAATTGGCAGGATAACGGGATGAACGGCTCCTACAACATATCCTAAATTGTAGTATTCTTCCACCTTAGATGCTATATCCAGCACAGAACTGATCTTGATGACTTCTGGATTTGAGGAAGCTAAAAGCATTGAAAACACAGAGGAGAGGCACATTAGGCATTACAGACGCGCAGACAGATTTGGGTGAGTTCTTTTATATAAGCACACAAAATGTATCTTAGGAATTTATTCACGGGCTACAGTGCTCTTTGCACAGGAAAGAGCAGGCCCACAGTTACGTATTCAGCTGGCTGAAGTACGTATTTTTACAAAGAGATCATAGTAACTTGTAATTCAATTGGCAATACTTTCCTGTTGGATCTAGCTCTGTCAAGCTAAAAACTGTAGCAACATTTAGACGCAAAAGAGTCTTCAATTTAACAGAGCAACATTTTTTGTCTAGACAGTCTTAAACATCCTGAAGCTGTATTTTTTTAGTCTTTTTCTAGTTGAGATGTAAATTCCTTGAGTGCAAAATTAAGCCTAATAACAACTGTTTCTTCTTAAGTAACTTTTTTTTTGAATCCTTAAAAGTCATGGGTGGATTTATGTTGAAAACCACAGCTTCGACATAGTCCTAATTCCTTTTTAAAGTACATGTAAGTGCATTTTGCAATAAGCTACATGGCAATACTCAGTAGGAACCCTCTGAGTAATCAGCAGGGATTTCTGACTGTTCCCCTCAACTCCAACCGGAATTTTGGATACTTTCAGGCTCTCTGCCAAGTGGTTGACCAACACTTCTCTACGGACGACAGACTCAAGATTAGTTCTCCCAGGGTTTCTCTGGCAACATCCAATTGTTCATCCCTAAGAGACGCAGACTCTCGTGACAAGGAAGCCTGGCTTGGAGTGTGACAGTCTCTGCCTGTGACCCTTGCTGTAAGTGATGTGGAGCTTCTGGGGATTTTGACATTTCCCACACTTTGGAAGATTTCAGTGCATTAAGATAAGGAAGGATGTTACTGATGCGCAACTGAACTGGAATTAAGTTCTTGACCCCACACGGCTCATTTTAGGAGATTCAAATATTTTAGCATGCTACTTTAAACATTTTCTTCAAAACCAAACAATCCCTAAAAAAGTAAATACATTTTTTATCCTTTGATTTGGCAATTAAAAAAAAAAAGCTATAAACAGAAAAAAACAGTAACAATAAATCTCACTCATCCCTTTGAAAATGTATCCCTTGAACTTCATTTAATGTTCTAATTTCCTCTTTTGCTTAGCTGCCCGCTACTATTTAGAAAAGTAGTGTGCACTAACAAGGACTTTAAGGATTGATCAAAGCAAGTCAGAGAGTCACAGATCTGGTCAGTAGTTTAAAATATGATAAACCTATTATCTCTTTTCTTTGCTGTTTTTTTTTTTGTTTTTTAATCTAATAAACTGAGGTAGAACTCTGCTGGTTGATGAATCATGTTCTGTAGAGCTTCAGTCTTCCAAGCCTATTTCCCATCTAGAAGAAGGTTTCTTGCTGGTCACTAGCAAACTCACGGAGTTCCTGTAGACTCTGCCATGCGCAGGCACAGCACTGGGCTGCTGCACTTCCTTGCACTACCTTACTAGTCGCCTGGGGAGCTGCACTGCAGAAGGAATTCTTATTTTTAGGCTGAAAAGCACATTAAAGACTTCCCTTTCACAAAGTGATTAATGGTATTTTTCTTAGATAATAATGCCTCTGTCCACTGTATCTTCTCATATTAAGACTTAGTGTCTCATCCAATAGACATTAAGTATATATTGAAGAGATATAACTACAACACATAGAAGCCAAAAAAAAGCAGGCACACTGACTTGCTAGTTGTATAGCGAACTTTAGAAGCATGATATCGAAGATGAGGACAAAAGGGGTATTTGATGCATATTCATATGCATATTCAGATAGACAAGAGCTCCACAGCACGTCATTTTAACGGGCTGAAATGAAAACATTCACATCACAACTCCTCTTTTTCCTAACATGAGAGTTTGGAAAAGGCAGAAGCTACTTAAGTAGCAAGATTTTTAGCTCTTCCCACCTTTTGTCTAAAATGAGCTTCAGAAGCAGAGGCTCTTTGTGTAACTGGGAGGCACCTCATGATTCCGCCTGTAAAAGTTACAGTACCTGACGAGTGTCGCAATTACCCTTGAGATCCCTCTGCTCCATCTCCCCTGTACCATGCAGCTCCTGCCAGTAAGAGACTGGCCGTACTTTTTTCCCTTAGGGATTCTCCTGGTGCAGAAGAACCTTCCTGGGACTCCGGCTGCTCCTTGTCACAGCAGCTGCTGGTTACTAGTTGTTGGTTACCGCACTGCTGGTTACTAGTTAAGTTGCTCAAGGACTCTGGCCAGCAGGTTTAGACTGGCTCACCTAATCTCTCATGGCGTGGAAGAAGATCATGGACTCCTGAAAGTCTCCCCAGTAGCCCCTTTTTGACTTTACACAGCATGAAGTCTCATGAAGAGAGAATACAACATGCTGAATTAAAATATAATGCATTTCTGCTTGCTGAACTTCTGTCTTAATGTAGGTATAGAGAGGACACTAAATTAGGGCATCCTGTATTTCACGGAGAACCAAATTCAAGGCTAGCAAGTCGCTCGGACAAACAGCAGTCCCAGATGCTGGGGAAGATCTTGCTCTAGAAACTAGCCAAGTTTGCCCTGAAGACCAAACACAACTTCACGCAGCAGAGTGAAAACTAACTTTGTTCCAAAATGCTAAAAAGCTCCATTTAGGCTAAGGATACTGTGGCGGCAACCAATGAGTGGGATTGAGTTGAATGGGTTAAGAGTTGGCAAAGGGAAAACTCTGCCCACTATGTTCCCTGCAGTGCTTTAGCCAAACCCCACTTTCCGTAAGGAAACAAAATGCAGAATTGCCTCCACAAATACAGGGCAACTATACTTTGCCTGTATTCACATTCTGAGCTGAAAAAGTAGAGAGAAATAAAATATTTAAAAGGTAAGTATTTTTACACAGCTAAAACTATTTTATAAAGAGATACTTGTGCTTAAAAACCTACTCGCCTACAGGTAGAAACCTAAAAAAGTGAGGCTGCTCTCTAAAGCTGCACGCCCTGTCCATGTTACTTAGCTTTTAGAATCCTGTAGTGTCACTGAAGCTGAATATGAGGCTGAACATGAAAAATAAAATTATTTAAACTGCAATCATACGACATTATTAAAATAATACAGAAACACATCTTTCTTTACATGTGTTTGATGTGCATTTTGCTTGAAGGTGACTATCTTCCTCATTACAAATCCTGTTCATGACACTTCCCAGACACGTTACTACAAAATGTAGCAAAACTACCTGGAAGATAGATTATTTAAGAATACTAAATGCACTTCAATTTCAAGAAAATTAAGTTTTTATTATCCTTTTTGTTATCAGTACATTAGCAGGCAATTAGCACATGCATTAGGCAGCCCAACTTCACTACTGCTCAGCACAAAGAAGGGTTTGTTTCCACACACATAACAGATTAATGAGCAACTCATCTCGTATGTGCACCCTGCCATATTGCTGGGTGTCAGGTACTATAACTTATTTGGATGTTTTCTATTAAGGATCTTGCAGTTTTTCAATAAATAGCCTGATATACGTAATCTAAAAATATTGCCCCAGGCCAACCATTCAATTAATGGGAGGTCAAGTTATGTTTTTGAAAAAGTTCCTAAATAAGTAACAACAGATACACTAGCACTTTCTCCCTTTATCCCATCCTCCTCCCAGCTATTGCTTGCAACTGTAAGCCCTCGCTCTCAAGCCTTCCCAGTAATTTGCTTGTTGGGAAGCGGGAGTTACTACAAAGTGAGTGCAAAACCGCGCTGCTGCCTGCGCTCGGAGCGCAGCCATCTGGGCTTGTTTATGTTTTCCACTTTCTGGAACAGGGAGTCGCTCTGTTAGAGACGGGACACCCTCGGGAAGGAAGTATCCCGCAGCGCACCGCCTGCCTCCGGCTACGCATACAAATTCTAACTCACTTTGGTCACAGTTTCAAAGGGCCATTCAGCAACTACAAATAGGGTGTTTGCAAAATACCAAGCGATGGAACTAGGAACTTCTTATTAAAATACCCACCAAAGGGCTGGGGTAGGGACAGGAGAGAAACCTATTCCTGGTACGCAGCTGAGAAACAGACTTATTTCTGCATAAAGTGCCACAGCCAACGACAGCCTGTCTTAGAAGTCGAACAGATTTTATAACACGGTTACTTGGGCAGAGCTCTCTGCTCCCGCTGCTTGCGCGCAGCGAATTTTGTATCGTCACCCGGAGAGGAGCGGAGCGTTACTCAGAGCGAGGAAGGATGGCAGTATCTGACTCACAGGAAAAACTCCCCAGCAGTTTCTAGGCTGCTTCCTTAACAAGGACAGCGGAGTGATTTGCAGAGGTCTGTCGTTAAAAATACCCCAGTAGTTTCCATTGTAATTTTATCTATCTGAAGACCTTTGTCATGATTTGGATTTCAAAATAAAAGCCTTGTTTTGGCTAGCTTTGATAAAAGTATCTGAGCTTTCTGCAAGTCAAACGAGACAGAACTAGGGTGAAACACTATCCCTTCTTTTCTCAAAATATTAAGGATAAAGCAAACAAAAAAATACCTTCTAGGGTAAAATCCAGCAATACGTATTCATAAGCAGAATCCGTCTTTGTTTCAACTTGTGGTCTCTTCAATGTAGAAAAGATTTTTCCAGGGCTGCTATCATCTGGGTCTTCCAGCTTTCTCAGTCCGCACCCCATGGCAAGCTCTGCAAATAATTAAGTTACAGGAAAAAGGAGGAGGGAGGGGAGTGGGCAGCAAGATCTGCTGCTCTCCCTTAAAAAAAAAAAAAAAAAAAAAAAGTAATGGAATAATTCCCTTTTATTTTGCTTTCTATTAGCCATAAATCCAAATACAGAAAACTTCTGCTTCCCAAGTTAAAATCCGAAAGTATTTTCTATTCATTTCTACATATAAACACCAAGCCCAGAACAGCTTCAAGCTACGAACTTGGCAAAAGCCAGTTTGATTTCCCAGTGATGTTAGAGCTGCCACAAACCAGCAGAGATTTTCCATGCCACGTCAATTTACAGCCAGCCCCCTAGCTGGGCGCTCTCGCAGAGACACCAATAGTGCTTTGTTTGTGCTTCTAGACTGGCTGGCTAAGGAGGAGAAGGGCAAAAAGGAGGGAAAAAAAAAAAAAAAGGAACTGAAATTGAAAGTTAAGAGCGAATCTCGCATGTAATTACTTACCTCCTGGAGGTCTGCTCAACCAGTAGCAAGTCAGAGGGAAAAAAGCAAGTTAGTCAGAATGAGAGAATGAGAAAAGAGCCTCAACATGGTTGGAGACAAAAATCATTTCCAGAAAGGAAGTCAGCTCCGAGAGGAAATTGCTTCTGGCATCTCAAAGGGTAGAAAAGTAAATGAAAAGCAGTTTAGTCTCTACTTCAGCTTTCAGAGTTTAGCCCTATTTCCTTTCTATGGGAACCTTCTTCCACAAGAAAAAAAAATAGTGTAGTACTTTGTAATAATGCTAAAATATCATAGTAAAAAGGTCTCTTATCAAGAAAATCACATATTACAATAAAAACATACATTAATAAAACCAACTTAATTTGGCTTAAGAAACAGGAAACATTTATCCTAAATTGTAATTGTATATCCTAGAAACTTTCATCCTAAATGACCGAGCTCCAAAAATTATTTTTTTAACACATCATCACTATCTTTCTAAAATGTGTGTAACCACCTAGCAAAAAACCACTCACTACACAAAGTACTGCAAGTCACTTTAACTGTATTACACCCTATCCAGACCCTGCTAATGCATAAGGGAGGGCGGAGGGAGAAGTAATCTTTCATTTAAGCATCTTCCCAAGGACACATCTACAGCCTACACTGCCTTTGAAATCCATATTATAAAGTTATTTGAGAACAAATTAAAAACCAGTCAGTGCAGAACCTATATAATAATTATCCTTTCACTCCCGCATTTTGAAAACCAACTCCAGGTGCCTTAACCAAGAGGATATACTCCAGTGCTGCCGTCTTCATTAAGAGCTGGCAAACCTTACCGACCGAGCAGCCCCTCCGCTCCCAAAGCTCGTTCTGTGTTTGCATTTAGTTAAACTAGCTCTGTTTTAAATGAGGCTAGGAGCATCTACTTTGAGGTCTAACAAAGCTTACATCTCCGAGACTGGATTTTTCATAGCCAACCAGAACATGGTTATGGATAGACACGATGATCCTTAGTCTAGAGAACTCCAGATCAGTGAGGCAGCCACCAACTTCTGAGCTGGAGTCAGGCAACAGCTACCAACGTTGGAGACCTGAGGCAGCGAAGAAGGGATTAGCAGCATCCTTCACGGGTGTTCACGAGCCTCTTAAGCTACTGGAAGGAGGAAAAAGATTGTTAGATTCCTGGATTCAAAAGGTGCCCGAAGATGAGGAACAAAACAGCCCCATTCCAGTGGTATGAAATGCAGCAGCTCAGACAGACGTGTAATGGAGGATTTGCGAATGTTCTTGCAGAAGGGCTTTTTGTCTGTCTTACTGTACTGCTCCACTTACTGAGGGCAAAACCACCAAACATCGGCCCGCGTGTGAAACTGAGGGCCTTTCTTGGCTCCGTCCGCGCTGACCCGCTCGCTGTTAACGCACCACGTCCAACGCGCTGGCCGAGGCTGGATCCCCTTTGGAGGATCTCTCTCCTGTGGGAAATAAAAACGACAGCACCCTGGTCCTAGGAAAAACTTCCTCCAGTTTCTTAAAGGACAAAGAATGGGAAAATAATTGCTCATAGTTGTATGTTCTTTCTTTTTTTTCCTTCCCCCCTCCCCAAGCCATCTAAGCTTCCTGATGATTAAAAACATACAGACAAATGGCAAATGACCTAAACAGCACAGGTACACAGCAGGTTTTCCTTGCCTCTCTATAAGCAACGTTAAAATAAAGAAAAATTCAGATCGTTTTATTTATGAACGTCCAATTTTGAATGGGAACTCAAGACAGAAACTCAAGAAAGATCATACACTACAGAATTCACAAGTCACGGACTCATCAAAAGCAATACCTTTCCACAGGAATAAAAAGTACTGGTGTGGTCCTACAGGATGTTGTTTCTCAGGAAAGACTTGTACGTGAATATCCTTCATGCAGCTGGAACAGAATCCATAATAAACCTCTTTCTTTTTCTAATTAGGATATAGGCTAGAGTATGTTCAAAGCAAAAGAAATCATACCGTGTATGATCTAATACTATGCTACTACAAAAAGCTTCAAAAGAAACACCACTTTATTTAAGATGCACGTCAAGAGTTATGTAAGATGGCCTACAAACTGCTGCAGGCAGTTACCGTGGCCATGGGAAATGACTCTTCCTCGGTCTCCCGGTGGAGAACAGGCTGACCCTTCTGGGGGGAGGAAGTCTCACTCTCTACCCTCTCGTGAGCACCACCGAGACAAAGAGAACAGAGTCCGTGCATCTGTGACAGAGTTCCGCAGACATCTTAACCAGGGAAGCGGCTCACCTGGAGGAAATCCACTGCGACAAGTTGAGCGGCCTTTGAAGACTCGTTCCTGCCTGAGGCTAAAGAGTAGCAAGCACCAAAAACATGAATAAATTACTACCATTTTATAACATGTCGCTAGGACCAAAACTGACTAACAAGGAAGGAAGAGATAATTTGTAGCTCCTCTGAAAGAAAAATCAAAATGTAAAATTATTTTTGGACTAAACATGTTTCCCAGTTGTGGTCGTTGCATCCATAATTTACAGCTTATAAATGCATATAAGAACAACAGTTGTTTTAAAAAAGAGGAGCATTATTAGCTAGTAGAGATCAATCACTACTGACACAGAATGCTTTAACATGGGCCAGATAACGGCAGTATTAGTGCAGAGAACAAAGTGAGTACTAAACTAGCCACATTTCTTCAGAAGCAAAGGCTAACTGAACAGTTATAGGACTTTACAACATGTTAAAACCCCCAAGAAAACCAGGATATTAATCATCTCCAATTGCAACACTGTAGTGTTCACAGTTCCCCTCTGTACCGGCTTTCAGGTTCCCTTCCTTTATTTCATGACTCAAGGAAGACATTAAGTTTTGGCTTGGGACAGGTCAGCAAGAAACAAATTATCTCACAAATATTCTGAGTTTCAGTGGTCAGAAACTTCTCAAAACCCCGTTATTTTAGCTAAAACAAAGCATTCACATTTATTTCTTTCTCTGTAGCATGACTTAATTAAAGTGGTTTTACCCATTATTTAAAGACAGAGTTTAAAGACTTACAACCAACAGTTTTCTGTTCAATGCTCCACTCCAGAAGCTCCTAAGTTTGCTTTTTTTCTTTTTTTATTTGGCCCCAATCTTTTCTATCTCATTGAAGGAATAAATTCAGAAACATACTTGAAAAAACCTTGTTAAGCATGTTAACTTCAGTGGAAAAATGAACTTCCCTCTAATACTGCTTTGTATCCTAAAAAGTATAATTCCATAAAGATGAGAAAGTATCAGTTTGCTTTCTGGAAGGGGAGTTCAATGATAAAAGTCACCTCATTCGATTTCTCTTATTTTTCCAGTGTGATGTTATATTACTTACCTATGCCACCATTAAATAAACAATAGCTACAACTCAAACAGCAAATAGGGACCAATTTATTTGAATTGAACTTTTACTTACAAAACTAGAACGTTACTAGCAGTTACAAACTACACAAACTTGTTTTTAATGACCGTCCTCTACAAGTGGTTTCAGTATAAAGAGCTTTTGATTTATAAGATGACAAACTGCTCATTGGAACGAGATCTACAAACTTCTTACTCCTATCTAAGAACATCCAAAGTACCCCGTGTGACAAGGCTGCAGTAACTAGACCAAATGTACCTGGATTACATTATCAAATAAGCCAACTGGTCAACTAAATCTCGTGTACTCCAAAAAAATTGCATGTTCTAGTTTCACCCCTCAATTAAAAAACAACTGGAAAGATGAACAGTATTGTGTTTAACACAGACATCTGCAGGGGGATGGGGAGAGGTACAAAGCAACCAAGTGGCTCTCAAAATTACAGTTTATTTGAATTAGTTTTGGCTCAAAAAGCCTACAAAGGCCTTACAAGATCTAGCTTTTCTATTTTCATCTTTGCTACAAAATTATTAAGCACTGTTAAAAAAAAGGCTACACATAATAGCTCTGCTCTATTTCTATTTGGATTTTCTGCAGAACAGGTTATAAAGATTTGCCTACTGCTTACAAGATCGTGCAAACGTATCAAGACATTGGCGTTATATTTTGGATCTTTAAAATATTGATTTACAATGTGCTTTTTTTTTTTTTTTACTGAAATGGAAACAGAAAGGAAAATTTTATTCCAAGTGAACCGAAACTCTGCAGCACTTGAACATGACAAAGTCACCAACCTCATTTGTTGAACAGCGCAACCACGCAACTTTTCACATTTTTAGAACTACGTTAAAGCAGGAAAAAACCTTTTAAAAAAGCCATGTGTTTGTTACTTTTTCCTCAGCTACTACTGGAATGCAGTTTACTCACTAACGCAATGGTAAAATAATTATGAAATAGACAGTCATTGACTTAATGTTAAGCATTTTGGAAAATGAATTTCGGAATACATAGAAATATCCAATTGATATGAAAAGTGTCACTTATTCTACAGGGATGATGAATATATTCCTGGTGCTCAAGACAGAAGTAGCATGTAATAAAAGCATTAGCGAACAAGACAATTCTATTTAATACAGGAAAATATTCCTTGATCAAATACAGCACAGAAGAGTGATAATTTGCCTAGCTTTTTCTGTCTAAGCCTGCAGGTTTTCATTGAGTGTTACCTAATGGAAAATGTTACAAGTCAATGTTATCTTTATATAGCAAGAGGCTAAGCAAACCTCAGTTTGCAAACCTGCAACAGCTAGCTCACTAGAAAACCAAAAATACAGCTGGGAAATGAGAGGACTAGTTTGGTTTAGTAACAGGTACCAAGCAGCACGTAAGGGGGAAGGGGAGTATTTGCCACGTTTTAACTCTTTACTGGTTAGCTGCACAGCCCGAGGCCACGGCCTCGGATACGACCCCTCCGCGCACAGCGGCTACAAAGGCCACGTTACGAAATTTTTAAATGGCAGGAAAGTAAGAGCATGTAAGAAATGGAAAAGACAAAACCCACAACCCTCAACCCCGTCATGAGTGTTAGGAGGTCAAGATAATGCAACTTTAGACACTGCTCAAGAGGAAATCATGTATTTCTTTCCTACTATGTATTACAGGAATACACTACTAATGGAATTACCAAAGTCATTTATTGTGCCTCTCGTTTTTTATGAAGAACCCAACTACTGGAAGCTTAACGGCTACGTCACGGCCAATTCACACACTGCCCACACTCTTGGCAAACGCGCCAAAGCAAGACAAGCCTCAGACACACACAAGGCAGCCCTCAGGCCTGAAGCAGGGCTGTGTGGTTCCTGCAGGAGAGCCAACAGCCAGCGCCTCATCCTGCTCCTCCCTAGTCTCCAAACGAAGGCCCGAGCAAGCAGCCCCTGCAGGCCGACGCTCCGGTCCTCGCAGCAGAGGGGCCTTTGGGCCCCCAACTGCGTGTCCTGCCAAATAACCACCTCTGTACCCAAAGCAAACGCACGCAGGGCACACGCTGCGGGATCGAGAGAGCATCCGCAAGCTAACATCTGTCCTGGTACATGCTAATAAATTACCATTTGTGAGTATTCCTATTAAATACAACTTATCTGGCAGCCATGCAAGTGATGGCACCGTATTTGTACGCTTCCGAGCAACTTGTTTTGTTCCAAAAACTTCCCTGTAAATACATTTTTAAAAATATAATATTTGGTGTAAAATTAGATTCTTAGACCTTTGAAGTGTTTTAAAAACTGGAAAGTCAAGTTTGGGAAACAAAAACCCCCAGACTCCAAAGCAAGGATTTAAGGCTAATCTTATGAAACCTGGGTGAAACCAGTATTTCATGATAGGAGAACTAAGGCTCTAACAGAACATACAACGTTTTCCAGGTAGCTTTGCAGAGAGCATATCATTTACAGAAATATTTACCATCTAAAAATGCTCGCAAGGAGAAATATGTGCCAAGATTTCTTTAAAATACACATATCAGTGAATTCTACAATCTAAATGAAACAGAAGAACAACTGGACGGGGTGTACAGATGGCCTTGATACATGCCAAACTACATCAAAAGTAGGCTGAGATCCCCACGAGCCTAACAAATCGCATCTCTTTTTGATACTTACTGCTAAAACAACCCCCACAGCTGTCTGGGTAACATCGTATTTGTGTAGATTTTGTGTAAGGCTTAAATCCTATTTGTGTAGATTACATACATAGACCTCAGTGCGATGCAAGCAATAAGCCATAGCTTGTATTCCTATTAACTACAGAAGCTGAATTTTAACCTTTCAGGAATAAGAGTTTTACAAACCACAGAAGGAATTCAGAGGGAGAGGAAGGAGGCAAGGAGAGAAGTGCAAAATCAGCCTCCTGCAGTTGAGGAGAAGGCAGGATTTCATCTCAACACATGATACTAACAAGGAGTTTTTCAATTTTGCACAGAAAACGGAAATTCAAGAAGCAAGGTGAAATTTCATGGGGTCTTATAATTTTAAGAAGCCAAATCTTGCCTTTTTCTCTATAGCTAAAAACACACCATAGACACAAATGTAATGTTCACCATTAAAAATGTCAGCCTCATAAGAAGAAAGGTAATTATTAAGCTAGCTAGTGGTCTGAACTTTATTTTAAATTATTATTATTCCCAAACACTAAAATGACACATAAGAAAAACATTTTATAAAAGTAGAGAATTCTGATTGCAGCAAAATTGAAAGCATACAAACTAGAGTGGAAGGGAAAGGAAACGCACACAGGCTTCAACAACCAGGTTTGAATTCACAACCAGTAAGTGCTGTCAATATGTGGGAAAGTGGCTTTTTTACCTTGCAACTAATGGATCTTTTAATTTATGTAGTCCAGAAGTGAAATGTTAAGTTTTCCCTTTATTAGACGTATGCTGTTTTTCAATCTACGTTAGAAAGTGATGTATATACAGTAGAGTGTATATCACAAACTACAACTTTGTCCAGTAAAGTTTTTTTTTTTATTATTAAGAAAGGAAACCATGATTTTACCCTGCATTTCATGTGTTTGCCCATCCAAACTGCAAGATTTCACTTTATTGCTCTACGAAAAGCAGTAACATTTCAACTTAGGCACATCCATGCAAATTTTAGAAGCTGGAGAACTACATACCCTCCTTGTGACAAATTCATGGTAAAAATCTATTTTACTGAATCAGTAGAAGAAGATGGTATAAGAATTTTATCTTCCACTCTATAATCTTTTCTAGGATGAAAATGAGGACTTCGTGTATATGGAGGTTTCACACTCAGGCGAAGGATGAGAAAAAATTCTTCTCACAGAATGTAACCTTGGTTCCTAAAGAGAGGGAAAAATGCAGTTTTGGTTCCTCTCCTTAGAGCTGTGTCACATTTACTACATTAATGATGCTTTAGCGAAAAATTACAGTCCACTTTATTGCTGTGTCAGCTAAACAGGCTTGTTCAGAAAGGAAAGTTACATTTCCATTACACACACAAGTTGACAGTGGTCAGAGCATCTTCATTTGTTTACAGGTATGGAGTCTTAAAATCAGTTCACATTTAATTCATTAAAAACAACAACAACAACAAAAAAGAAACAGAGAGAGAGAGAGAGAGAGGGACAGAAGCTCTGTTCACTGTTCGTATCACTTTCCAGACATATGTCAAACCACTAAAGGAACTGTCACCTTTTGTCAAAACGAGCAGGGGACCTTTTTTTTTTAATATACATATTATGGTGCAAAATTATTTAACCTAACCTTTTCTTTTCCTGTTGTTACATTACCTAGGATACCGATTAGAGCAGTATGTTAAATAAACCTCAAGCTCAGCTTAGCATCAAACATTTTCAAGAACTGTTTAGTTTATTTAGTTCAACTCAAGCCTATCGTTGCTCTCCAAGCAGTACCACTTAGCTGGAACTAAGACTCAATGTATCTCCATGCTGTACAAACAACTTTAATTCTAACTTCAACTATGATTTTGCTGCCTTAAATTTCTTTAACTTATATACAGTTTTTAGTACTTTTTTCAGAACAAAGTGAACATTGTTGGCAGATTTCTGTGTGAATTTATACGGATGCCCCCGTCCTCGTTCAGCAGCTGAACCCGGAGCTGCCCTGTCTGCAAGCAGCAAACAAGCGGCGCGCTGGGACCGGGCAGCTTGTCGGGGGGTGTTAGCAGCTGCTGCCAACAGATGATGGCAAGGTCCAGAAAACACCAGTAACTTTTTAGGTGTTCAGGTTGTCAAGAACCATCTCTGGAAATTGTAAATTATTCTGTTTATTCTTTCTATGACCAAGGTCCTTGCCCTTTCTCTCACGGTTCCACTTGGATCTCGGCTGCTCTACATCCCACCTGTTTTATTCTGCTTACTTAACCAACGTGAGTTCCTTCATCCCTTTCTAGCTCTTGATACGGTACATGGCAGCCTCAAAATAACATCTCTGTTCCCTAATGCTATATTCTTACCCAGGCATTTCTAGTCCTCCTGTATTTTTATTTTCAAAAACTTAATCAATACATCTTTTCCCCTTTGAGCTCTGCCAGCTTCCTTGTATTACTAGCTGTAGTTCCTACAGCCCTATCAGGATTTTTAACTCACCTTAGTTCAAGATTTTAGCCTCATCACCTCCTAGCTGCAAAAGCGGTGCAGCTCCTTCCTCAACTCTCAATTTCCACAGCCACCTAGTGCCAGTTTCCCTGTCCGCTTAAGTTACCAGTTATCAGAATTACAGGACTTTCTGTTTCTCTTGTCTTTTCTTTAGTTTTGACCCTTACAAACCCACACGTTTTTTCCTCTCCAGTGCCTAGTCCCACCAGGAGGGTCAAAAACTATACTGAGCTTAATTCCCAGAATGCAGACATGGAAACACCTGCAATAAACCCAAAGAGGGAAGTGCCAATGGGATCTTCAAAAAACTCACCAATGGCTCTAAGGGAAACCAGGGAAGTTTTTAATTTTTTTTTGAAAGACAAATCTGGAAATAAATGACACAAAGTTCTCACCCTGATCAAACAACAAGTCATTGCTACAAACCACAGGGTTGTTAGAAGGCTTTCAAATACGAAAGGGACATATATTTTATCACGTGCAAAACATGTATTCTTCCCTATTTTCATCTTATTAAAATACCAAGATTTTAAAAGAAAATAAGAAACTAAAAGCAGCACCATACAACACGAACACATGTTCCATCAACACAAATCATTGTAAAACACAGAATAGACAGAAAAAGGGAAAAAGGGAGTTGTCAATAAAGGAAGCAAAAACAGTTTCAGGAAAAACAATACATTAAAGTGCTGAAATTTTCCCTTACCACCGAGAGAAAAATAAATCAAACGTGCACAAAATTGGGGACTTTGAACTATAAAGGAAATAATGATGGAATGAATACATACATGACTCCCACAGGAATGAATGATATGAATTACAAAAGTTGTTTTACATAAGAGAATATCAGGAAATTTACAAACATGCAGCAAGCAACTAAATAATACTGCAGACTCTGCTGAATTTTATTTTAGCATGTTTTATCATATCTGTAAATAGCAAGCATTGCAATGAAACAACTGACCCTAAGTTTCACAACAGGCAGCTGCTAACTGGTGTGTTGATGATGGATCTCGGCCACAGGGGAAGGACTGGACAAGAAAATCAGTACGGGTAGGCTAGAGCTGCCCAAATGGCTTAATAGTGAACGCTCCACAACGTCTGTCAAGTAAAGAGAGAGAACATACAGATCAGAGGAGGCCAAGGGAAAAACAAACCACCAAAAAAAGACTAAACTGCAATGAGAACAAACTGCTAGAATAGAAAAAAAAAGGGGGTGGGTAAAGAGAACACAGAAGGAAGCAATGTGAGAAACGGCACATTTCTATATTAAAATAAAGTCAATGAATATGTGTTTAGCGAAGCTGAAAACATCCCTTTTACAGGCACTAATTCACATTACTGAGCATGACAGGCCTCTTAGTAACTGTATTTAAGGACAACTAGTTCATTTGCTGAGACTTAGGTAACTTTAAGCAAATATGCATTCTCTGCATCTTAATTTAATTCCCCATACAAATGAAAAAACATACTTACCTATATAAAAGTGGTGAATTTTAGTTTTTTGTTCCAAATGGAATGGCACCAAATAATATGGTACTAGTATAAAATTACGATGCTTTTCAAAAATGAATATGGCAAGACCTCCCTTTAAAATATCCCTGAAAATGGTGTACGCAGCCAAACCTGTGCACACATACACGCACACGCATGTACATACGTTATATACACACGCACACGCATGTACTTACATTACGTACACACGCACACACGGAGCACAGACCTCACCTTGTCAGTCCTAACTGCAGAGAAGGGTGCAAAGCTCTGAATTCGGTCAGACTTAAAGAACATTCGCTACCAAAACCCCAAGGGGTTCGCCTTGGGTATCAGTACTATCAAAATGCACATGCACACCGATATTACTAATGAAGCCCTCTAAGTTCTATTTTGACACAGGCATATCCAAGAAAGTAGAAAAATCGATCCTAAAGCTACTGAAAATTTGAAGAAGTCTGAAAAAGAAGCTCCATTTCCATCGCTGGTAGGCTCCTGTGGAAGTTAGTCAAGGAGGCTTTCAGGGAGACCACAGGATTGCGCACTGCGCTCGCACCGTGCCTTCCCCGAGCATCTTCGGAAGCAAAGGCAAAGTGCAGAACTATCCCTCCAAACCCTGTTCAGAATGCAGTGCTCGGAGCTCAGGTTCAACAGCTGGATTAGGGAAAATTGCCAGATGTTGTCAACTGACACGACTTTGTTGTGAGGACAAAATTCACACAAAGTTTTTTTTTTTTTTTTTCCCTAAAGCTAAAGGGTCACATGAAAAGAAGATATGCCCACCGCGGACCTGAAAAGCCTCCAGCAGGCAACGATACCACGATCCCATGCTGTTAACACCGTCCACATAACTCAGTCGGATACAGGTTGCAGAAACAGCAAAAGCTTTTCCAGGCTGAGATCGTGTCACCTCCAACAAGCAGCCACAGATGGAAAACGTGACCGAGAGGGGAAAACAAATACTGGAAAAACAAGGAAAACAAACAAATCCAAAGCACCCAGATAACCACCCCCACGGGCCGGAGCTTGTTACACCTTTGCTCAGTTTTTGTAAACCGCAACTGCAGTACTCAGCTCTCCTGGCCTCACAAATTCCTCTCAAACACGTGATATCTAGCAATCACTTAGCAAGCCAACGCTTCAGAACCCAAGATAACAATCCACTAAAATAAAATTTACATCAAAGGCATTTCTCCTAGGTCTGGAGGCAGACAACATGAGTTTCAATCTCCCCTCAAGTGGCTGTTTTTTACCGTGGATGACACAGATCTTACTACCAAACACAATCTCACACCCCTCCTCTAGGAGCACTCCAAACATCAAGCCCTGCATAAGAGGGCAATTTTAAATCTGAAACACTGTGCAAGATCCAATTGAGATGGGTATCGGCTCATGTTTCCAAAAATAAATAAATAAATAAATAAAATGCCATCCAACAAGTCTTTGAGAATGAATGGCAGCTGAATGCATGTCGACAGTTTGTACAACCGTGCTTGAGACGGAACCACTTCCACACACTCATGAACACGACATGCTATAATCCCCAAGGAAAACACCTCTGCCTTACACGTAAGCACAAAGTACTTACAGGTGATTTAAGGGGATTTAGCATTTTGGACTCGAACCTTACTTTTAGACACCAAATATAGATCTAGAAATGAATTAGAGAGCCATCATGGAAGGTTTTCTTCTAATTTGTTTCTTGAAGACGGTCAACACAAAACTCTAAGTGGCAAAATAGAGAAAATGAAAAATCATTTAGAAATGCCAGAACTGAAGCTTCCTTTATCTGCTGAATTTTGCACAAGTAATGACCTTCACTTATCCACACGAGCAACAGAGATGCTGGCTCAGAAATTTCTGAGTTTCTTCTTTGATGACCATTTTGTCGTTTTTTTTTGTTCACCTTTGTGACTTCATCTCAGAATACTGCAACCCACACTCTTTTGAGCTACACTGAAAGTTATGGAAGTCTACAAACACTAAAAATACCTGGATTCTGGTTATGTCTATGCTCTTCTTGCCATACGACCACAGATCCTACTATCAAGTGTTTTTCTATAAAGTATCTATAAAGTTAATTCCTAATGCAAATCTGTACAGGAAACAACAAAAGTACTTCAAAGGTAAGGTCGTAATTTGAGACTGTGTTCTCTCTTACAGGGCCACTATTTGGCATTTCTGCAGTCAGCAAAGATACATTTGCTGGGTTATTGTAGAACTGCAGCCAGCAGGCAGCATCTTTAGGCAGCTGGGAACAGGTGGTAACAATGTGACCTCTCGCTTAATGCCACCAGTCTGCTTGTTCCCTGTATTTTTCCCTCTCCCAAAGCTTGCTGAATACCCTGCCACAAACTCATCATAAGCTCATTCAATTCATTATGCCTGGAATATATCCAAAGCCTTTAGGATTGTGTGAAAAGGTAAGATAAATGGAGAACTGTACTCCAGAACTAGCTCCTACTAAACTGCTCAAAAAAAAAAATTCATCAAAACTTGTGTGCATCATTAGCTTGTAATAAATAAAGCTACCAGAATTCTCCAAGTCTTTCCCAGGATTTAACTATATTTGAGACTCTACTGGAAAACTGATCAGAGCTTTCATGGCTTTCAAGTGAGCCTTATGGATGCTAAGGAAGGACTTGTGGGAAGAGAGGCAGGAATGAGCAACGAGCACAAGGAAGGTGCTAGTGGGCTCAGCAGCTCCGTGCTTAGTTTAACCACCCCTAGAGCTGCACTGCGAGTGCAAGTCATCCGTTCCGAGGGCCTATTCCAGACCTGCTCAAGGCCAAGACTGCGTCCCTCGCTTCACAAACTGTTCTGGGACTGATGCAAGCTTGAGGTAGCTCTTTGGGGGCGCAGGTGGAAGCAGGGCTTCATCTGAACTCACACCAGCTCCCGGCCTTGCAACAGAGCTGCATACAAACCCAAATTAAAACTGGAAAGGGGTACCGTGGAAAATGGAAAGAATTGCTGGTTTACGTCAACTTCAGCCGCGTGCGAAACTACTTCCAATGCTAGTAAACATACAGGGCATCTTAGAACGAGATAAGTAAGAGTATGAATATTTCCTGTGCCTCAGGAACCATTCAAATACGGCCTGAACACGAGTGTTTTTATTCGAGCTTGTATCACTTATCACAGAGTAAACTACCTTCCTTAGGAGAAAAGCATGGTGCTGTGGTAATTATTGTAGAAGACGAAGAGCTAATACACTCTTGTATTATCTCCCACCCATCTTGTGACTTGACACTATCTTGTTCATAAAGCCTTCTCCTTGAAAGCCAATAAAAGTCAAGTTTCAAGGTACCCAAATTTGCCTTCCGCAAAAGGCCTGCCTCTGCCACACACCAAAGCGCTTCACCACCCGCAGAGGGGGAAAAATGACATCTGACCACACTGGTCTGTCTCTTCATTGATGTGTCTGAATGTTTAACATCTCTTACTGAGAATTTAAACCAGATAAAGTTTGTTTGGAAGTTTATAGAACTTTCTTTAATAAGTATGAGGAAAAAAAAATATGTTTCTTTAAATAAGCATGCAGATATTTTTGATTCTGAGACTACCATTGCCAATGTTTTTAGTGTGTTCACACACCATTGAAACTGGAATATAAACTGAGTATGATCACTGTGCTCCACCAACTGCCTTTTAATATATATCTTTGAACCCCAGGCAGTTCCATCTCCATGTGAGGAAGAACTTCTTTGCTGTGCGGGTGCCAGAGCCCTGGCACAGGCTGCCCAGAGAGGCTGTGGAGGCTCCTTCTCTGGAGATCTTCAAACCCGCCTGGCTGCCACCCTGTGCCCCTGCTCTGGGTGTCCCTGCTGGAACACGGGTTGGACTAGATGGTCTCTAGAGCCCCTTCCAACCTCAACCTTTCTGTGGTTCTGTGAATGTATGAATCACTCGGAATTAGCATTCTTCTCAAGTTCACGTTCTTCTATTTTCTTCTTTTTATTGGACTACTTTCAGTTTAATCCAAGGCAACACTTATCCGCCAGCACCCTCTACTGGAAATATTTAGTAGATATCATTAACTTGGCACAGATAAAAAATAAGAAAAACTTACAAAAAATAAAATTTAAAAAGGTATAAAAGACAGACACAGCCTATAACATATCTTTGATTAATTCATATTTATTCTGTCATTTGTAGCTGAGTAAGCATCTTCTCTTCACAGAAGAACAAGCACTGCAAAGTTAAAACAACTGATACCTTCAGCCCTTTGTTAGCATGCAGTAACAGGCATCAGAAGCTAAATTTAACTTAGGATGTTTGCACATCATGTTAAAACAATGTTATAGTAGTTTAGGCAACAGGACTTTAAAAACTTGCCTTGTGTAAAAGAGTCAGACATTTTAAAATGGCCATTCAAAATCAAAACTGCAAGAAAAATATCTTAGGTGACCGAAAGGGACAATTTTTCACGCTCCACCTCGCCACAGCAGGAAGTACTTGTCTAAGACTGCAAGCAATTAATTCAACTGCTCAGGATCCAGGGAGATGTAAGGATAAGAATTTATAATTATCATTTCAAAGAACTGAACAAGGCTCTCTGCTTTCTCTCAAAACACGTTTCATTTGCAGTTTTCCTTGCATCTCAAGTTTTAAAACTATTTTTTTTTAATTTCTCTAAGTAGAATGGTTCCAGAACAAGTAACCTCTATGCCCTCTGTAATACAGACTCAAGTAAAGAGCAAAGAAAAAAAATAGTTTCTTTGTAACAGTTGTTTTCCTTACTTACTAATTCATAATGAAAGCCTTTTTCATTCTTGCCCCTCTTCTTTTCCTGTCCCCCTTCCAAAAAGATGACAGTAAGACCACAGTGCTTACTTTAACGGGCTCAGTTTGAATCACAGGTGCTGGCATGGCTATGGCGCTCTGGGCGTAAAGCTGGTGATAAGTTGCTTGAACTCCATGATCAGAATATGGCTGGTACAAAAACAAATGAGAAATGCAGTTATTTACAGAGAGAGCAGAAAAGCTTGTTTCACAATTTCATGATTTGGCAAGCTTTCCAAATGGATTTAGATTCTTGAGGGTTTCCAATTGTGGGCTAAATTAATCTTGATTACTGGTTGGTCAATCACTGACTTTAAACACTGAGATTTCAGAATTGAAGTGCTTCCCCCAACCGTTCCAGAGCTTTGCTATATACAATTTATGTAAGTTAGTGCCAGACAGCATTTAATCCTTGACAGCAGCAGCACCCTTCCTGCTGCAAATACATTTCACTCAGCTACAATAAGACCGTGTTTAAATGTGTAAATTAGCATACTGAAAAACAATACCCAGCACTGTCACACTTGAAAGACATTTATATAGAAATAAAAAGTACTTCTTTTTTGCAATTTACATAGGCTTCTGATTTTCCACATACAGCTTCCTTTAACATAAGCAAAATATGTACCTGTGGACTGAGAGCATGACACATCCAAACATTTTCCTTAACTAATTTCATGGGTTTTCTTATTGTTCACACATTTCAAACGTCTATATACAAGCTGATAAATATTTGATTTATGAAATACAAGAGGTAAAATGATAAAAAAGATGGGCAGGATTTATGACTGTACAATAAAAACTGATGTTTATGCATTTTCAAAAATAAGACAATCCTATCAAAATCTTTTTTTTCTGAAGTGATGACAGCAACTAAATTGTCTAGGTGTGCCAACATTTTTCATCAATGATGTTTGGAAAACCAATTTGGGAACTTTATTCTTGTGGCAATAAAATACTTCTGTAAAAATACTTCATTTTTTGACATTTTACAGTTTATTCAGACATTTCTGTTATCAGAGAATGAATTAAAAAATCATAATCATAATATATTTTCAAATTTGCAAGCAGCCTTACTGCACATTAATCAAAGAAACCGATAAGCAAAGAAGAGCAGACCTGATGGAGTCATTCAGCTACTATTTCTTCATTTTGACCTTCAGAATATTTACAAACTAGCTTCTACCCACAAAGAAAAAGAAGTTGTTCAAGAAGCTGAAATGGTATGGCTAGATTAATTCAGTACTCTGAAGCTGCAGTTCAGTCTGAGTCTCATTTTGTTTAAAGTTTTTATTTATAAATAAAACTGACTTATCTTCATGCTGCTCTCTGTCATTACTAGAAACTTGAAGCATATCAGAACCAAAGCATCCTCCTAGGACGCTGTGGAAAAGATGCTCTAACTTGAAGACAATTTAAGTGCTCTGAATTACCTCTACTTGAACGTTTTTCAGTTGCAGATAAACATTTCTATTACATTTTTTCATAAAAATACCTCAGGAACCGCAGCTTCCACCAGAGAGAGAGGAGCAGGGATACATCCACCTTCCTGGGTAATCTCTATTGGCTGATAAATGACTTCAGACGGGTGCAGATAAAAGAATGAAGAAGAAGAGGCAGGAGACTGAAATAAAACACATCACTTTGACAAACTGTATGACTTCCACACTATAGATCAGCAGAACTTATTTCATAACTCTTCTTCCTACATATAAATGAAGATAGGTCCTTAAAGAAAGCATCAAAGTCAATTCTGATAACCTGTAAGAAACTTAACTGAGGGGGAAGTGGGCAAAAAAATAGATGGCAGGACAAAAATGCAAAAAAAAGAAAGTCCTTTGACTTTTAGTCCTTTAAGTATTTATAATTTCTTTAAAGAACATTGTGAGAGAAATTATATGATAAATGATATGATAAAAAATTTAAAACTGGGATTTACTCTTAAAATTGCAAAACCCAGTATTTTTTCTCTTGCAAAAAGTTACATTAAAATAATTTTGTTTTAAAAGAAGTCCTTTTAAAAAAGAACCCATACAGCTTTACTTATCCATGTATTAAAAGCATTAACGTATAGACATACTTCTCAAGGCATTTTTGGTTTAGTCAGCTAGCTACCTAAACAGATCTCATATTTTTTCTCTTTATATTCAGAGGCAAGAGCTCCCTGGAATAAAAACTGGTCTTTTATTTTTTCACTGGAATAGCAAGAGGGAAGTCTAAGTGCAAGGTCCCACTGCTGAGGAACAGAATCCTGCAGCTGGAGCGCTGAACAACGCATTCAAAGATTAGAAGATTATTATTATTCATGCCCAACAAACCTAACAATTCAGCCCCCAGTTTTCAAAGCAGTAGACTGATTAACAGAGGGGAACTGAGCCAAACTGGACCAGGTATCTGTTACTAAAGCAATGAGCATGTATCATAATGCTTCAAGTTTGAGGACCTTAATGCTGCTTTTAACTTCAAGCTCTTCAAATCCCTCCAATGGCAAGATTTCCACGCTATGCTTCTCTGCTGTAAAGATCACAAAACTGATAAAATCCATAAAAAGTTAGCAATTTCATGGTCTCCTCCTGTTATTCTAAACAAGGTCTGAGCCTAATTTCACCATACTTGTGTGTCTGGGTATTTCTGCTAATATTCTGAAAATATCACAGCTGTATCAATTAGCAAACTAGTTAACATCCATTTCTCCTGTCAGGTGAAATGTGGCAGTTGATCCAGGCTTTTGAGAGCAAGCATTTGCTCTTTCAGTAGAAACCTTCTGCTCTTCTCTATGCAGATATTTTGGTGGGGATATGGAAAGAGGTGGTTTTTAATAAAGAATTCAAATTTGATGTGTCAATAAGTTCTACTTTACGCTTCCTACTATATCAGTAAATGTTACAAGCGCATTGTTAAAATATACCAACTAACGACAATCTCAATAGTGTTTTAACTAGTAGGAAATTTATTTGTATCATTTGATTTGAAGACAAACTATTCCAAAAGCTGGAAGAACGCAGAGAAGTTTTAAATTAATGCTAACTAATGTAAAATAGAGCAGCTAAGAGCTGTATTTACCTGAGGAACATTCCACTGCCACTGACTTGGAAGACACTGTGTTGGTGCCTACATTGGAACAATAAAAGATACTTACATAATTTTGTAATTTACATATGCCTTCCTAATACACTGTATGTAGATACTACATTTCCAATATACTGCATATACATACACATATTCACAATACACTGCAATCACCCTCCCCTAATCTTTATTCAAATATTAAAAAGAACAAAAATTAGTCTTCATAATCCCCTCCCAGTAACTTAGGAATGTTCAGCTCCTCCACTTCCACTCAAGCGTCCAACCAGGGCATTTTTTAGCTACTGCAGTAACGAAGCATTTAGGAAATGGGAAGACACCGAATGTGATGAGCTTTGCACAAGGAAGACATCAACAGACAGCAGAGGAGGCTGGCCCGGGTCAGCCCCGAGGACAGCGTGGTTATTGGCGCCTATAACCTTCCAGCGGAGGGCACAAAGAAAACTGAACCAGACCCTTCTCAAAGATGCTCAGAGGACTACAGGAGTCAATGGGCAAACAGTGGAACATGGGAAATTCCAACTAGTTACGGATTTTTTTTTTGTACATTATCACAATGTACAAATAATGCAAGAGGCTGTCCATAAAGTTGGTAGAACCTCCATCGCTGGAGAAATTTAAGATTCTATGGGACAAGTTCCTTAGCAAGCAGATCTAACTGATCTAACACACTTTGTCATGAGCAGAAGGCTGGACTAGATGCTAAAAATTAAGCCAGTTGCCTAGCAAAGCAAAAGAAAATATGATCCATTTCCAAGGAGTTGGGTACACACGAAGAAATTCAGTTCTAGTGGAAAGAAAATTTTCAATGAAAACTGCAGTATTTTATGTGACTATTTTTGACAGTCTTTCTATTTGTTAAGAATAAAGCACTGAGATAGTACTGCAAATAAAACTGCAAGCTTGGAAGGAATCCTGACACTCTGAAATCCATTTCAAACAGATACCTGATAATGATATGTAGGAGGCTGATAAACCGGTTGAGCTACCATGACTGGCGAACTGGAAACAGAGCGTGACTTAAAAACAAACAAACAAAACAAAACCCAGTAAGTTTCAAGCCTTAATGCAGCTATTTCATAAACTTTCAATCCTACTAACAGATCTGAAGTACTACATATCAAGTAGTCACTCCCTTTTGAAAACAGATTTATTAAATTTTAACTTACACTTTGATTCTTCAAGACCACCACTGCTTCCGTAAGTTCATTACTGACGAGGCAAACACCTTTAGGATGTGTACTTCCTCCTTTCCAAAAAGGACCTTTCCCTAAAGCTGTTCACATGTCCTCACCATAGGTATGTCTTTATAAAGGCAATTTAAACTGTCATTGATGCGTTCTCACCCCCTCCATAGCCCCCAGCCCTGCGTTCCCTTTCCCATTCCCTTCTCACCAGCCTCAGCATTTGCCTGATCTGGCAGTAGAGCAGTTTGGGGAGGTAAACCAGCTAAAACTTACCTGGTTTTGGGAGCCCGGTTTAGAGTCAGAGGAACACCCCTGAAAGAAGGGGGTACAAACAAATGGACAGAGATAGAGGTGCAAGAGCATGCACCTTTTGTTTTGATCTGCTAAAGATAAGATACTTTGTACAATTCCTACATCATGAAATTCCCTCATTCCTGCATAAAACAACCCCAACAATACTCTAATTCATTCTGCTCTATAAAAACACAAGATGCAACAACAGAAACTCCCCCCCCATTTTGGGCTTTAGAAAGTTATCTACACATACACACACACACACACACACACACAGTACTAATATCTTCAGTAGAGCTAACTTTTCCTAAATTTGCAGTACTGCTATGTTTTTAATTCTTGATATACTTTCCTAACAATGAAAGTGAAGAATATGTAAATAAGTGAGACTAAAATAGGCAGTAGCATTTGGAATTCCCAGCATCAAGCAGTGTATGTTTAAAAGGTAATGGACCTGGGTGAAGGCATCAGTGCCCAAGCTCAGTACTGGAACACAGCAAAAATATTCATGGCCTTTTCCAACAGGCAGTATTTGAGGCAGTTCTCTCACACCAGTGAGCATCAACAAAAAGGCTCTCTAAAACAAACAGGTATTTATGCCTTTCCTCCAAAGCTCAAGAGGCACTATGAGATTGCCGATCACAAGTGTCATTCTCCACGAGAAAAGCAAACAGCTTAAGATTACAAAAGAAGTGATTAAAATAGAGGTTAGTAAATCCTGAGAAATTAATTCTACAGTGCCAAAATAAACACCACACTGGAATAATTACTCATCATTAAGAAACAACAGCCTTTCCAATAAGATCAACAAGGGCAGTAACAGCTTCCACTGATTTTTTTCCTGGTGTATGAAGGGATTTTGCATTCATACATACAGACAGTACATACACAGCCTCTGCAAATGCTGCTTTTACAGCAATTAACAGAGCTGTGTACTCTGCAGATGCCATCGGTCTTTTACTCCTTCATCCCGTTAACTAAAGTCACCAACAACCCTCCTGTACCTGACAAATAACACTATCCAATTTCCCCAAGCCCAGTAACACTTAAACATTTCATCTACTACATTCTCTTCCTCCTAAAGCAGGTGTACTCTTAAAATGGGTATGTAAGACTGTAAGATGTCTCAGTTTCACTCTTGCTTTGTTGATCCAGTATTTCATTTTTCTTCCAACTCAGCATAACAGTTACTGCAGCCAAAGGCCACATATTCATGGAGGAATAATAAGGGAGCCAATCAAAGGCCACAAGGACCATCTTCTCCGTGTTAGGAAAAAACCCTTCTCCTGCAGTAGGGACCCCACTGTCCATTAAGTGCTCTTTATCCAGAATCTTTATCCAGTATCAACCATGACCATCAGACAAAAGGGTATAGCTGGAGAAATGGGAAGCAGGAAGGACATGTAAGTCTTGGACTGATCCTAGATTACAGAAAAGTAAATATACAGGAAATAAATTACTTACAGGCCACGCTTGTGGAACAGAAGCAGCTTCAGGAGTATGAAAATAAGCCACTCCATTATGGAAAGTATAAGGATATCCAGTTGAAGTAGTTAGGTACATTGTTCCAGCTGCTGGCATTACACTGGATCCTGAAATTAAATTTTTATATGACAGTTAACTTACCAATAAGATATTATTGCTTTAAATGTCTAGATCACATCAAAAAAAATCTTCAGAGAATCAAAACTGACACTCAAAGGAAAGAGCATGGGGTAGAGTGTGCCTAGTGCTACCTCAGGTCCCTCTCAAACACAGAATCCTGAAAGCAGATGGTCACAGGGTAACACAGGTAGATGGAAAGGAGTGCAGAAGATGACATGCATGTCAGTTACTAAACAAAGACAACTCCAATTACCAGTAAATATATGATTATTTTTAATCTTCAAATGTCCACAGGTACCTTCAAATTGTGGGAGATTTTCATTGGTAACCTCCATATATGAATATTTAGCTGAAACAGGATCCAAGCACTAGAAACAACAGAAGGATTTCATTAAAAAAATGCAGCCTGGTTCCTCAATGCACAATGTTTGTGTATTTCTGCAATGGCACATTGCCTGGTAAAAGTAAAAAATGAAAGGCAGATAAAGAGCAAGGGGGACACTTCCTGCAATGTTGCCACTGCTGTACGGGCTCTAACCAAGAGCGGCCTCATCCCAAAGCAAAATTTCATCTCCATAGCCCTGTAGGTAATAATGTTCAAATTAAGCGATTAAGCGATTAATGTTCAAATTAATGCATAATTCTATGCATAGGTTATTTAATTTTCTCAGTTATTGCTGTGGGGATCATCTAGAGTCCATTTCTGTCTGGATTTAAAAAAAAAAAAAAAGTTTCTCTAAAAGCTTCATATCAAACATGAAAACAAGTTTCAGTTCCAATTACGACGGACTTTCGGTAGGGGAAAGCAACAATACAAATAAAAATATATTCTGTAATGGATACGGGAATTAAAAGCAACACACCATGGTAAAACTCATGGTAAAACAGCAAGAACTCAAAATAAAGATCACTGAACAGGCTTTAGTTTTCTCACCTTCCTTCCAAAAGTAACTACCACCAGGAAATGCCATTTTCCATATAGACATAACTGTATGGAAAGAGATGACGAGAACACTAAGTGGAGGACTAAGAAGGGCCCAACTATGATCCAAGGCCTTAAGGATGCCTTAAGAGTCTGATTGACTCCTGCAGAAGCCTGAGGCCCCCTGGATGCAGTAACCTGAAGCACTAGACACTGGGAGGTCATGGGCTAAGAGGGCCCATGCCAGGCTATCTTCAAAAGGGACCTGAGAGACCCAAATACTGCAGCTCCATTAAGCAATCTAGGACTCTAGTTACCGATATTTGAAGTGAGGAGAAACCAACACAATCCCCTGGCCAAAAATCCTTTCTGTTACACCAAGAGCACTGCACAGAATGTTTTGCTGCTATTGAAGATCTCCCTTGCAAATGGAAAGGCAACGTGCTCCATCAAATTTAATTCATGACTGAAAAACAAAACAATCAGGGAGAGGTAGAGCAATTTTATAATAATTAGTTCTTCTTCTTCCAGTTGTTCAGGGTTTATTTGTACTTCTCAGCTTCTAGAATGCTCATTTTCATAGGCCTCTGCGCTGGAGAAAAGCAAGCGGGGAACCCTGCCCTACTGCTGCTCCTGGCCCACGATAAGGAAAAGATGATGCTTTTATGGTTTTCTCTTCAATTCTGAGAGCCTTGGAATGAGTCAAAAGATTCACCTTTAGCTTGTGGATGAAAGTTTATTTTTCTAAGTCAAGGCAGACTTTTACTGTTTTTGTTCCCACTTCTATAGGCATAAAATCTCTTTTGAGGTTGCAACAACTGAAAGTTGCTGTTTTTTTCTTGCCTGAGCAAGATGAAACAGCACAACCACCACACATGTACAGCCTCTCTTCCGTAATCTGGAAAATTTCCCGAATGGCTGGGTAGCAGCCTTGGAACCCTTTAAAATTCATGGACTGAACAAGGTTGAACTGTCAGGGGAAAAGGAGGGAGGGAAGGAGGGAGGGAGGGAGGAAGGGAGGAAGGAAGGGAAGGGAAGGAAGGGAAGGGAAGGAAGGGAGGGAAGGCAGGGAATGCAGGGAAGGCAGGAACCCAACAGCAATGCACTATTCAACAGCCCGTGAGCCTGTGAGGAAGAGCAGTATTTGAACACTGATTTTTTACCTACTTCTGGAAAAGATAAGGG